GGAGGTTGTCTTTGGTGGGGATTTAACTCCAGACCACCAGCTATGTTTGAGTCAGTTTAGACCGGCTTGCCACCCAGCACCCAGTTTATTACTTTGCAAAATGCATGAAGAAGATCTTAGCATAATTTTAACGCTTCCAAATAATTAATGAATCAATACATCATATGATTGACTAAAAGGATAATTTACATTAAATATTATGTAAAAAATTAATGATATGTAAAGTTTCCACAAGAACAGTTAAACAGTGACATCATTAATGTTGGTGTCCCCGTTGCAGTGAACTCATAATGTCAAACCCTCCAGGCTTTCCTGAGTTCCCCTTCTCTCATGGCCTTTATTGTGGGGCAGCCACGTTCTTTTTTATGATCAATGAGGATTTGTTATGAAACCTGTCTAAAGTGAACAATGTTAGATATGTTGATGCCAATGTTTGAGTTACTAAATAAGATGGTTCTACTCGGTGTATTCAGAAAATACCGCACAACCCATGCCTTAATATCTTAATACGCTACCATTGTTTATGTTTATCATTATTATAAAGACATAAAATCATGTCCCGCCCCAGGCGTCACGCATTGTTTAAATCCTTGGTGCTCTATTATATTTTAAACTGCTAAAAATGGATTGGCCGGGGCTAATTCTAATTTACAATGGTTATTTTGTCTAAACCTCACCCCCAACGGTGTTAGTGTACGTGTTTAACTGATGGTATTTTCATACGTATGTTCTCAATAATAACACCTTGAATTTCGGGTTTCCTTCTAAACTAAATTTCCAACAGTATGATAAAATGATTTTAGAAATATTAGCTTTTCAGTAAATAATCAAATCAATAGTCATACAGATTCTTGTCATAAGCATTTGTCAGTTGCAACATTATAAAAAGACTAAAGCATTCAATTCCTTATATGTCATTAGAGATTTATCGATCAAATTGTCAGTTAAAATAGTTTGAATATCAATGCCATTTGTGCACCAAAAAGAAAAATATATACTGATTATTTTAACTTCATCATGATGTCAGCGATTTAATGCTAATTAATAGCAGCTTTCAAATATTAGATTTGTTACTAGCATATTAAAAAGGCAAGGTTTACAGGTGCTTCGTAAAGTTTTGCTATAAAGAATACAATCGAAGCTAATGGACCAAGTTCTATAATATATAAATCTTCTTCATGCATTTTGCAAAGTAATACCTGTGAACCTTGCCTTTTTAATATGCCAGTAACAAATCTAATATTTGAAAGCTGCTATTAATGAGGATTAAATCGCTGAAATTATGATGAAGTTAAAATAATCAGTATATATTTTTGAAACGACATTTCAATTTCGCTTTTATCAATTTTTTCTTTTAAAAATTTTCAACAGGAGACAGAACCGGATCAAGTGGAACTGGCAATAAAGAGTCAGATAAAAAACCCAAAGGTGGGACATACATTTTATTATTCAATATTATTTCACGTTAAAATGTAATCTTCTTCAAACCCGCACAAATTATTTATATATTAACTTCATCATAGCTGTTAACTAGTTGTACAATTTTAACTGATTATTTTGTCTAAACCTCACCCCCAAGGGTGTTAGTGTACGTGTTTAACTGATGGTATTTTCATACGTATGTTCTCAATAATAAGACCTTGCATTTCGGGTTTCCTTCTAAACTAAATTTCAAACAGTATGATAAAATGATTTTAGAAAAATCGTTCAAAAATTTTTAAGGCTATAATTTTAAACAAGTATATTGTAACAAATTGAATACTAAATAGTTACAATAATATAAACATATAACGTAATGTAGAAGTAGAGTTATACAAGTTAGTAGATACATATAACAAGAAATTATAAAATATCGTAGCATATCATGAATACTCTATATATTATACATCTTGGTCCATTAGCTTCGATTGTATTCTTTATACACAAACTTTACGAAGCACCTGTGAACCTTGCCTTTTTAATATGCTAGTAACAAATTTAATATTTTAAAGCTTCTATTAATGAGCATTAAATCGCTGACATCATGATGAAGTTAAAATAATCAATATATATTTTTTCTTTTTGGTGCACAAATGGCATTGATAATCAAACTATTTTAACTGACAATTTGAGACATATAAGGAATAGAAGCTTTTAGTCTTTTTATAATGTTGCAACTGACAAATGCTTTTGACAAGAATCTGACTAACGATTGATTTGATTATTTACTCAAAAGCTACTTTAAAAATAATTTTTAAAAAATTTGACGTTACTATTTTAATCGGTACGCTTAAACAAAATAGTACATCAAATGCTTGTTATTTGGTATGTACTTTTAAAATTGAAATTCTTTGCTTCCAATATTATTTAATTTTACAAAAAAAAATCATCATGAAAAAGGTATTTACATTTTTTTTTTTTTTGAAGAAACGACATTTCAATTTCGCTTTTATCAATTTTTTCTTTTTAAAATTTTCAACAGAAGACAGAACCGGATCAAGTGGAACTGGCAATAAAGAGTCAGATAAAAAACCCAAAGGTGGGAATAACATTTTTTTTTATTCAATATTATTTCACGTTAAAATGTGATCTTCTTCAACCTCGCACAAATTATTTATATATTAACTTCAGCATAGCCGTTAACTAGTTGTACAATTCTAACTGATTTTTAATTTTGTATTTTTATAAAACCACGATCATTCTGGCTCTGGGTTTGAATTAGAATTTACCTGCTTTTAGATGAGTTGCTGCCCAAGAATAACAAGTCCCATCCATCCAGGGTACAATGGAGGTTGGCTTTTGTGGGGATTTAACTCCAGACCACCAGCTATGTTTTAGTCAGTTTAGACAAGCTTGCCACCCAGCACTCAGTTTATTACTTTGCAAAATGCATGAAGAAGATCTTAGCTTGATTTTAACGCTTCCAACTGTTTAATGAATCAATCCAACATATGATTGACTAAAAGGATAATTTACATTAAATATTATGAAAAAAAAATTAATGATATGGAAATTTTCCACAAGAACAGTTGGACAGTGACGTCATTAATGTTGGTGTCACCGTTGCAGTGAACTCATAATGTCAAACCCTCTAGACTTTCCCGAGTTCCCCTTCTGTCGTGGCCTTTAGTGGGGGACAGCCACGTTCTTTTTTTATGATCAATGACGATTTGTTATGAATCATGTCTAAAGTGAAAAATGTTAGATATGTTGATGCCAATTTTGGAGTTACTAAATAAGATGATTCTACTCGGTGTAGTCAGAAAATACCGCACAACCCATGCCTTAATATCTTAATACGCTACCATTGTTTATGTTTATCATTATTATAAAGACATAAAATCATGTCCCGCCCCAGGCGTCACGCATTGTTTAAATCCTTGGTGCTCTATTATATTTTAAACTGCTAAAAATGGATTGGCCGGGGCTAATTCTAATTTACAATGGTTATTTTGTCTAAACCTCACCCCCAACGGTGTTAGTGTACGTGTTTAACTGATGGTATTTTCATACGTATGTTCTCAATAATAACACCTTGAATTTCGGGTTTTCTTCTAAACTAAATTTCCAACAGTATGATAAATTGATTTTAGAAAAATTAGCTTTTCAGTAAATAATCAAATCAATAGTCATACAGATTCTTGTCATAAGCATTTGTCAGTTGCAACATTATAAAAAGACTAAAGCATTCAATTCCTTATATGTCATTAGAGATTTATCGATCAAATTGTCAGTTAAAATAGTTTGAATATCAATGCCATTTGTGCACCAAAAAGAAAAATATATACTGATTATTTTAACTTCATCATGATGTCAGCGATTTAATGCTAATTAATAGCAGCTTTCAAATATTAGATTTGTTACTAGCATATTAAAAAGGCAAGGTTTACAGGTGCTTCGTAAAGTTTTGCTATAAAGAATACAATCGAAGCTAATGGACCAAGTTCTATAATATATAAATCTTCTTCATGCATTTTGCAAAGTAATACCTGTGAACCTTGCCTTTTTAATATGCCAGTAACAAAGCTAATATTTGAAAGCTGCTATTAATGAGGATTAAATCGCTGAAATTATGATGAAGTTAAAATAATCAGTATATATTTTTGAAACGACATTTCAATTTCGCTTTTATCAATTTTTTCTTTTAAAAATTTTCAACAGGAGACAGAACCGGATCAAGTGGAACTGGCAATAAAGAGTCAGATAAAAAACCCAAAGGTGGGACATACATTTTATTATTCAATATTATTTCACGTTAAAATGTAATCTTCTTCAAACCCGCACAAATTATTTATATATTAACTTCATCATAGCTGTTAACTAGTTGTACAATTTTAACTGATTATTTTGTCTAAACCTCACCCCCAAGGGTGTTAGTGTACGTGTTTAACTGATGGTATTTTCATACGTATGTTCTCAATAATAAGACCTTGCATTTCGGGTTTCCTTCTAAACTAAATTTCAAACAGTATGATAAAATGATTTTAGAAAAATCGTTCAAAAAATTTAAGGCTATAATTTTAAACAAGTATATTGTAACAAATTGAATACTAAATAGTTACAATAATATAAACATCTAACGTAATGTAGAAGTAGAGTTATACAAGTTAGTAGATACATATAACAAGAAATTATAAATATCGTAACATATCATGAATACTCTATATATTATACATCTTGGTCCATTAGCTTCGATTATATTCTTTGCAACTGACAAATGCTTTTGACAAGAATCTGAATGACGATTGATTTGATTATTTACTCAAAAGCTATTTTAAAATTAATTTTACAAAATTGACTTCACTATTTAAATCGGTACGCTTAAACAAAATAGTACATCAAATGCTTGTTATTTGCTATGTACTTTTAAAATTGAAATTCTTTGCTGCCAATATTATTTAATTTAAAAAAAAATCATCATGAAATAGGTATTTACATTTTTTTTTTGAAGAAACGACATTTCAATTTTGCTTTTATCAATGTTTTCTTTTTAAAATTTTCAACAGAAGACAGAACCAGAACAAGTGGCACTGGCAATAAAGAGTCAGATAAAAAACCCAAAGGTGGGACATACATTTTATTATTCAATATTATTTCACGTTAAAATGTAATCTTCTTCAAACCCGCACAAATTATTTATATATTAACTTCATCATAGCTGTTAACTAGTTGTACAATTTTAACTGATTATTTTGTCTAAACCTCACCCCCAAGGGTGTTAGTGTACGTGTTTAACTGATGGTATTTTCATACGTATGTTCTCAATAATAAGACCTTGCATTTCGGGTTTCCTTCTAAACTAAATTTCAAACAGTATGATAAAATGATTTTAGAAAAATCGTTCAAAAAATTTAAGGCTATAATTTTAAACAAGTATATTGTAACAAATTGAATACTAAATAGTTACAATAATATAAACATCTAACGTAATGTAGAAGTAGAGTTATACAAGTTAGTAGATACATATAACAAGAAATTATAAATATCGTAACATATCATGAATACTCTATATATTATACATCTTGGTCCATTAGCTTCGATTATATTCTTTGCAACTGACAAATGCTTTTGACAAGAATCTGAATGACGATTGATTTGATTATTTACTCAAAAGCTATTTTAAAATTAATTTTACAAAATTGACTTCACTATTTAAATCGGTACGCTTAAACAAAATAGTACATCAAATGCTTGTTATTTGCTATGTACTTTTAAAATTGAAATTCTTTGCTGCCAATATTATTTAATTTAAAAAAAAATCATCATGAAATAGGTATTTACATTTTTTTTTTGAAGAAACGACATTTCAATTTTGCTTTTATCAATGTTTTCTTTTTAAAATTTTCAACAGAAGACAGAACCAGAACAAGTGGCACTGGCAATAAAGAGTCAGATAAAAAACCCAAAGGTGGGAAATACAATTTTTTTATTCAATGTTATTTCAAGTTAAAAAGGGATCTTCTTCATCCCAGCACAAATTATTTATATATTAACTTCAGCATAGCCGTTAACTAGTTGTACAATTCTAACTGATGTTTAATTTTGTATTTTTGTAAAACCACGATCATTCTGGCTCTGGGTTTGTATTAGAATTTACCTGCTTTTAGATGAGTTGCTGCCCAAGACTAACAAGTCCCCATCCATCCAGGGTGCAAGGGAGGTTTGCTTTGGTGGGGATTTAACTCCAGACCACCAGCTATGTTTTAGTCAGTTTAGACCGGCTTGCCACCCAGCACCCAGTTTATTACTTTGCAAAATGCATCAAGAAGATCTTAGCGTGATTTTAACGCTTCCAACTGGTTAATGAATCAATCCAACATATGATTGACTAAAAGGATAATTTAAATTAAATATTATGTAAAAAATTAATGATATGGAAATTTTCCACAAAAACATTGGGACAGTGACGTTATTAATGTTGGAGTTCCCGTTGCAGTGAAATCATAATGTCAAACCCTTCATGCTTTCCCGAGTTCCCCTTCTCTCATGGCCTTTATTGTGGAGCAGCCACGTTCTTTTTTATGATCAATGACGATTTGTTATGAAACCTGTCTCAAGTGAACAATGTTAGATATGTTGATGCCAATTTAGGAGTTACTAAATAAGATGGTTCTACTCGGTGTAGTCAGAAAATATCGCACAACCCTTGCCATGATATCTTAATACGCTACCATTGTTTATGTTTATCATTATTATAAAGACATAAAATCATGTCCCGCCCCAGGCGTCACGCATTGTTTAAATCCTTGGTGCTCTATTATATTTTAAACTGCTAAAAATGGATTGGCGGTGGCTATTTCTAATTTTAAATGGTTATTTTGTCTAAACCTCACCCCCAAGGTTGTTTGTGTACGTGTTTAACTGATGGTATTTTCGCACGTATGTTCTCAATAATAACACTTTGTATTTCGGGTTTCCTTCTAAACTAACTTTCCAACAGTATGATAACATTATTTTAAAAATCGTTCAAAAATTTTTAAGGCTATAATTTTAAACAAGTATATTGTAACAAATTGAATACTAAATAGTTACCATAATATAAACATCTAGCATATTGTAGAAGTAGAGTTATACAAATTAGTAGATACATATAACAATAAATTATAAAATATCGTAACATGTCATATATACCCTATATATTATAGAACTTGGTCCATTAGCTTCGATTGTATTCTTTATACCAAAACTTTACGAAGCACCTGTGAACCTTGCCTTTTTAATATGCTAGTAACAAATCTAATATTTTAAAGCTGCTATTAATGAGCATTAAATCGCTGACATCATGATGAAGTTAAAATAATCAGTATATATTTTTCTTTTTGGTGCACAAATGGCATTGATATTCAAACTATTTTAACTGACAATTTGATCGATAAATCTCTAATGACCTATAAGGCATTGAAGCGTTTAGTCTTTTTATAATGTTGCAACTGACAAATGCTTTTGACAAGAATATGACTGACTATTGATATTATTATTTACTCAAAAACTATTTTAAATTAATTTTAAAAAATTGACGTTACTATTTAAATCGGTACGCTTAAACAAAATAGTACATCAAATGCTTCTTATTTTGGTATGTACTTTTCAAATTGAAATTCTTTGCTTCCAATATTATTTAATTTAAAAAGAAAATCATCATGAAATAGGTATTTAATTTTTTTTTTGAAGATACCACATTTCAATTTCGCTTTTATCAATTTTTTCTTTTTAAAATTTTCAACAGAAGACAGAACCGGATCAAGTGGAACTGGCAATAAAGAGTCAGATAAAAAACCCAAAGGTGGGACATACATTATATTATTCAATATTATTTCACGTTAAAATGTGATCTTCTTCAACCCCGCACAAATTATTTATATATTAATTTCAGCATAGCCGTTAACTAGTTGTGGAATTCTAACTGATGTTTTATTTTTTATTTTTGTGAGACCACGATCATTCTGGCTCTGGGTTTGAATTAGAGTTTTTAGATGAGTTGCTGCCCAAGACTAACAAGTCCCATCCATCCAGGGTACAATGGAGGTTGGCTTTGGTGGGGATTTAACTCCAGACCACCAGCTATGTTTTAGTCAGTTTAGACCGGCTTGCCACCCAGCACCCAGTTTATTACTTTGCATAATGCATCAAGAAGATCTTAGCTTGATTTTAACGCTTCCAACTGGTTAATGAATCAATACAACATATGATTGACTAAAAGGATAATTTACATTAAATAGTATGTAAAAAATTAATGATATGGAAATTTTCAACAATTACAGTTTGACAGTGACGTCATTAATGTTGGTGTCACCATTGCAGTGAACTCATAATGTCAAACCCTCCAGGCTTTCCTGAGTTCCCCTTCTCTCATGGCCTTTATTGTGAGGCAGCCACGTTCTTTTTTATGATCAATGACGATTTGTTATGAAACCTGTCTAAAGTGAACAATGTTAGATATGTTGATGCCAATTTTGGAGTTACTAAATAAGATGATTCTACTCGGTGTATTCAGAAAATACCACACAACCCTTGCCATGATATCTTAATACGCTTCCAATGTTTATGTTTATCATTATTATTAAGACATAAAATCATGTCCCACCCCAGGCGTCACGCATTGTTTAAATCCTTGGTGCTCTATTATATTTTAAACTGCTAAAAATGGATTGGCGGGGGCTATTTCTAATTTACAATGGTTATTTTGTCTAAACTTCACCCCCAAATGTGTTAGTGTACGTGTTTAACTGATGGTATTTTCGTACATATGTTCTCAATAATAACACCTTGCATTTCGGGTTTCCTTCTAAACTAACTTTCCAACAGTATTATAAAATGATTTTAGAAAAGTCGTTCAAAAATTTTTAAGGCTATAATTTTAAACAAGTATATTGTAACAAATTGAATACTAAATAGTTACAATAATATAAACATCTAACATAATGTAGAAGTAGAGTTCTACAAATTAGTAGATACATATAACAATAAATTATAAAATATCGTAACATATCATGAATACTCTATATATTATACATCTTGGTCCATTAGCTTCGATTGTATTCTTTATACCAAAACTTAATGAAGCACCTGCGAACCTTGCCTTTTTAAAAAGCTAGTAACAAATCTAATATTTTAAAGCTGCTATTAATGAGCATTAAATCGCTGACATCATGATGAAGTTAAAATAATCAGTATATATTAATTTTCTTTTTGGTGCACAATATGGCATTGATATTCAAACCCTTTTATCTGACAATTTGATCGATAAATCTCTAATGACATATAAGGAATTGAAGCTTTTTATAGTTTTGCAACTGAAAAATGCTTTTGACAAGAATCTGAATGACGATTGATTTGATTATTTACTCAAAAGCTCTTTTTAAAATTAATTTTACAAAATTGACGTTACTATTTTAATCGGTACGCTTGAACAAAATAGTACATTAAATGCTTGTTATTTGGTATGTACTTTTAAATCGAAATTCTTTGCTTCCAATATTATTTAATTTTTAAAAAATCATCATGTAATAGGTATTTACATTTTTTTGAAGAATTGACTTTTCAATTTTGCTTTTATCAATTTTTTTTCTTTTTAAAATTTTCAACAGAAGACAGAACCAGATCAGGTAGAACTGGCAATAAAGAGTCAGATAAAAAACCCAAAGGTGGGACATACATTTTAATTATTCAATATTATTTCACGTTAAAATGTGATCTTCTTCAACCCCGCACAAATTATTTATATATTAACTTCAGCATAACCGTTAACTAGTTGTACAATTCTAACTGATGTTTTATTTTTTATTTTTGTGAGACCACGATCTTTCTGGCTCTGGGTTTGAATTAGAGTTTGTCTGCTCTCAGATGAGTTACTGCCCACGACTATCAAGTTCCATCCATCCAGGGTGCAAGGGAGGTTGGCTTTGGTGGGGATTTAACTAAAGACCACCATCTCTGTTTGAGTCAGTTTAGACCGGCTTACCACCCAGCACCCAGTTTATTACTTTGCATAATGCATCAAGAATCTTAGCTTGATTTTAACACTTCTAACTGGTTAATGAATCAATACAACATATGATTGACTAAAAGGATAATTTACATGAAATATTATGTAAAAAATTAATGATATGGAAAGTTTCCACAAGAACATTTGGACAGTGACGTCATTAATATTGGTGTCACCTTTGCAGTTAACTCAAAATGTCAATCCTCCAGGCTTTCCCGAGTTCCATTTCTCTCGTGGCTTTTATTGTGGAGCAGCCACGTTATTTTTTATGATCAATGACGATTTGTAATGAAACCTGTCTAAAGTGAACAATGTTAGATATGTTGATGCCAATTTTGGAGTTACTAAATAAGATGGTTCTACTAAGTGTAGTCAGAAAATACCACACAACCCTTGCCATGATATCTTAATACGCGTCCATTGTTTATGTTTATCATTATTATAAAGACATAAAATCATGTCCCGCCACAGGCGTCACGCATTGTTTAAATCCTTGGTGCTCTATTAAACTGCTAAAAATGGATTGGCGGGGGCTATTTCTAATTTACAATGGTTATTTTGTCTAAACCTCACCCCCAAGGGTGTTAGTGTACGTGTTTAACTGATGGTATTTTCGTACGTATGTTCTCAATAATAAGACCTTGCATTTCGTGTTTCCTTCTAAACTAACTTTCCAACAGTATGATAAAATGATTTTAGAAAAATCGTTCAAAAAATTTTAAGGCTATAATTTTAAACAAGTATATTGTAACAAATTGAATACTAAATAGTTACAATAATATAAACATGTAGCATAATGTAGAAGTAGAATTATACAAATTAGTAGATACATATAACAAGAAATTATAAAAGATCGTAACATATCATAAATACTCTGTATAGTATACATCTTGGTCCATTGGCTTCGATTATATTCTTTATACCAAAACTTAAAGAAGCACCTGTGAACATTGCCTTTTTAATATGCTAGTAACAAATCTAATATTTGAAAGCTGCTATTAATGAGCATTAAATCGCTGACATCATGATGAAGTTAAAATAATCAGTATATATTATTTTTGATTGTTTTAAAAGACAAAAACAAACTTGAAAGCATTATTTAACTTTTTTTTTAAATAGAAAATTTTGATTACCGTCATTTGATGTTGTTAATAGATTATACAATCCTGATTTCCTTAATGATTATATTAAATATCTGCCATTCAGAACCCAAGTGTAAAGAAGTGACCATTGAAAGCATTAACCTTCAGCCCAAAGAAATTCAGTTGGACGGTAAAGTGGTCTCAATCAAGGTCTCTAAACAAATATCAATAATTCCCTGCACATCTGGATTGACTTTTGGCTCCAATGACAACAAAGTTTTTGCTCTCCTTGGATGCCGTGGCGTGTTCAGTGTGTGCATTCAGGAGAAAGAAGGTGAGTGTGCATTTAGGGGCAAGAAGGAGGGTGTGCATTCAGGGGCAAGAAGGAGGGTGTGCATTCTAGGCAAGAAGGTGGGTGTGCATTCAGGGGCAAGATTGAGAGTGTGCATTCAGGGGCAAGAAGGTGGGTGTGCATTCAGGAGCAAGAAGATGAGTGTGGATTCAGGAGAAAGGTGGTCGTGCATTCAGGGGCAAGAAGATGGGTGTGTATTCAGGAGCAAGGAGGTGAGAGATACTTTCAAAAGACCTTGCCTTGTTAAATTAGACTTAGCTAGCTTAATAATATAAGACATATTTCAAAATCAGGAGCAGACAAACTCAAACCATAAGCAAACAAATATACGAAAGTAAATATAGAAAAATAATATACTGAACAAAAACTAAATAAATCGGTTTGGTTTGTTTGTGCTTTACAATGCAACTATATATGGACAAATGTACCAAATAAACATATAGGTTATACGACATTTTAATTTACTTTTATTAAGTTGGAATGACCACATTATATTTGTTCTTTATTTTTTCATTATCAAATATATTGAGCAAGCAAATTAACTGTCATTAAACAGACTATTAATTTTTAATACCGGGTGTTAAGAGACCTGAGCAAGAGAATATAACAAATAAATTTTTTTTTAAAATTAAAAATTCTTTTTGTTTTAGCCCCAGAGCCAAGCAGCAACGCTAAATGTAATCCACCCTTTTCTAATGTGTATGGCTACTGTGTCATTGTAGAGAGGGATGCCGAGAGGTAAGTTGAAACCTAAAGACATTCACTATCATCTGGTACCTGTCCACTCTTTCATATTGGAGTATTTATAGAAAAAAAGATGTAGAAGTATCTTGCATGCTTTAAATAAACTCCTGATTTAATATCGATATTAAAACATATGAATTCAATTTAAAATATTGCAATGTAGAGAAACAAACTTTAAAAAAAAATGTTTTTTTAACCCTCTATTACGCAATTTTAGTTTTTTATGGAAAAAAATTTTTTGATGGCATACTTCATAGTTATTGGACTTAAATAAACATAATATGCAAGAAAAATAATTTTTTAAAATGAAATAATGATTTTATTGGTATGTTGCCATATGGCAACAGTGCGTCTTAAAGGTCAGAAAAGTAAAACTGAACAAGAAAAGGAAACGATAACAATAATATTTGTAAAAGGTGAATATTTAATCGTTTACACAAACAATGGTTCTCAGTACTTAGTTTACAAGCATATCTTCATATTATGCTTTTATATCATGAAAAAGATCATTATAAAAATCATATTTTATAAGCATTTTTTACACAAAAATATAGAAAATCATGTAATCAATATATAGAGCATATAGAGGGACAGTAAATATTTATATACATATGTGAAATGCAGGTTTAATGCTGGTGGAACTGTTTGAAGCAATGTCAACTTTACATTATGCACATTTTATTCTTGAAAATTCTTTTCAACCTGGTCTCTTGCATCTTCCTTTGTTTTCAAGTGGCTCAGGAAAGTGCCAAATATAATCAGCTCTTACTGGTAAGGGTGGAAAAGCTGCAATAGGACCACTCAAATTTTTAGCTGTAAGTTGAGGCTCTATATCCAATAAAGGACTGCCAAGTTTCCTAAACCCTGCTTTACCTTCTTTCATTAGGCATATGGCCATCTTGGTGTTGAAATCAAGTACACCGAGGATATTTTTTGTCGCGATTCGCATTAGTACAATCAGCCTATAGATCAGCCATGCCAGCACAACTGCCATACTGGTATCCAGAAAGTGGAATATTATACAGTGATACTATTTTTTGGACCTTACTGGTATCCTGTATACGGCCAACAGTGAAGCGAGAAGATCCACACCACCCATGAATTTATTGTAAACCATGATTACCGATGGACAAGTTACCTAGATTTCCCTTTTAGCCTTTTGTCCCATCTTTTGACCCGTTTCATGGGCTCAATAGCAGCAAATGTACTGAGTGTGGTTACCGCTCTATTGTCAACCCATTTGACTGGAAACAGATCAACACCGTCATGGTGGCAGGTTTTCAGAATTGCGGAGCCCCTTCCATTTCTTGCCAAGTCCTTATCTGAAGGCATTATGCAATTTTTAAGCCTATTAGACCTTACAGTGCCAATAGCTGCATGTCAGCTTCATCTCTGTGGTGTCAAAGCAAATTTCTTGCAAATAGTTTTGCCCGTGGTTGGATTGCAGTGTCTAAAGAATTACCAGGTGTGTCGTTAGTTTCACAGTCTGAGTCTGATATGGTTGAAGCTGAAAAGGGAAATTTTAAATATTATTTTTCAGTGTTTACTTTAACTTTTGGCTTGAATGTTATATAATTGTTTTTTTTTTAAATATTAGAGATTAAATGCAATTTAAAAAAGTATATGAAAACATACTTGTTGTGTTCTTGAGTCAAAGTTTCATCTATGTCATCATCGCGTGAAGATAGCTCGGAGTCCTCAGGAATAGAAGGAATATCCACATTTTTATTTTTTCCATAAAAGCATGATGGTTCCATGACTGCTTTGATGTTTGGATATTTGAATTCTAGAAGAAAAAAACATTATAGGAAACTAATAATTCCACACAAAAAATAACTTACAATATAGACTTATATCTTGTATAGTATCTATTCATTTTTTTTTTATAAAAAGAATTGTAACATTAATTTAAAACCTGTTAATTTGATCAAAATATAAAAGGATAACATTAATATTAGATATGTATAGATATTTCATAAAAAAAATATTATTCAGATAGCTTATAATAAATAAACTGATTATATATTGTATGTTGCCATTTGGCAACAAAAAAATAAACACAAAAAATTAACCACATCGACGCACTGTTGCCAATTGGCAACATACCATTTTTTTCGTATGTCATCCACCTATGATGACAAATATCAAACATAAGCTCATTTAATATCAGTTCAAACATTAAATTTAACATTCTTTATTTTTTATAACAGGAATTATCATTATGTGATATAAAAAAACAGCTTGTACTTACTGGATTCGGCGGAAAAAATTGTAGTCAACTGTGACCGTCTAAAATGTGTTCTTACATAAAAACTGCAAAGCGAAAGTGAAGAGTTCTTCAGGATAAAAGTTTGAAACCTCATAATTGAAAAGGGGAACCACTCCAACAAATTAAAAATTGGGCTTGCAGTACTAGCAGTAGTGTAATTTCGCTTTGTTGCCAAATGGCAACATTGCGTAATAGAGGGTTAACCCTTTATCATTATTTCATATATCAAATTTAGTTTTGAGATTGATTATATGTAATTGTTTAGAATATGTATAAATGTGAGAACACTTAACTATTTTAAATTATTGTATTCATATTATTACGAAATATTAGTTCCTTGTTATCAAACTTATATCTGTATTCCTATTGAACTCAGAACATATAGTGATTCTGAAGCTAGATGCTCTGAATATGGAGGCCAGCTTCTTGATTTGGAGAATGTAGTTTTCTCTGCTGCAGGAATAAAGGATTTTGAAAAACTGAAAGGTAAGCAAAATCTAATACATTTTTTCTGTGGAATATATCAAAATAGTTAAGTGCCACATGGCCTAAACCAGTGGTCGGCAAATCGTGGCTCAAGAGCCATATGAGGCTCTTTAGTGACCTGAAAGCAGCTCGGCCAGAAATCGGGTTTGACTCCGAAAAACATGGTTCTTGACAGGTTCTTGAAAAGAAATGTTGCGCTCAATTTTTTTTTAATCGCCCTGCGGCTGATTTTAGGCTCTTTTGACTAATGCGTTTACCGACCACTGCCCACTACGACAATGCCGAACTTTTGTCATCTGGTATTGTAATATAACAAAAGGTCTTCACATCTAACAGTTTATTTCCACTAGGAGAATCTGATGGCACAATGGTGCTACAAATCAGTTTTAATAACAACAAAAACTCCACAAAAAAAAACTATTGAATTGTTGTTGGATGAGGCAATAGAAAAACTCCAAGGCTGCTTAGAAAGTACTGATCGGGATAACTTTATAAACATTTACCCAGATGTTGATGAACTAACAAAATTCTTAAATTCATATATTATGCTCTATGTAGATGAAAGAGCTATATCACTTGTACAAAGACCCACCCGAAGTCGAAACAATAAAAAAAAAGGCATAATGCGCTGGAAGGGCATATTGAAATGATGCCAGATTGTAGAGCAGCTATAGTGATATACAGACAGAAACCAAGGGGCAGACGACACACCAGTCGCCCAAGGCTGAGATGGATCGACAATGTAGAGAAAGGCCTACACCATTTGAGGTTCGCGCATGGAGGCGGAAAGCCATGGATCGGCCCGAATGGAGTGATTTGGTGGAGCAGGCTAGGGCCCTACATGGGCTGTAGCAGGGCCGGCACTAGGAGGGTGCGGAGCCTTGGGCTAATTGAATTTTGCGGCGCCGTTGATGTTATATATTCCGCCGATAGGATATAAAGACACGTTATAGTCGTAATGGCGCCTTGCTGGTCATAATGGGACACGTCATAACGGATATTTGTTCACTCGCTTAGTTTCCGAAAATTTCTATTTTTTCCTATAACAGTTAATTGCCCTGGCCCAAATAACTCATCGCGGCTCCATTGTTACCAATATCAAAGTTGTCAAAACCAAGTAACGACGGCGACGCGCGAGTCTAAAAAATTTTTTTTTTTTTTAAATCACATTAATTAAGATTTAAAAAAAAACGTTTTGAATGAGTTTATTTTCAGGAAGATTTAGACTATGATTAGGAACGAAACATGGTTAAAGTGATTTATTACGGCTCTTGTAATTTTTTTTTAATTTTTTTTTTTACAAGAAAGCCTCTTAACCCATTAATTAAATATCTGGAAAAAGCAGACAGTTCGCGCCTTGACGTCATTTATTTAATCTCAATAGGTTTAGGGTTCAGGATAGGTTTAGGGATAGGTTTAGGGTCCAGGTTAAGTTTCGGGATAAGTTTAGACAGGGTAACCGTACTGTAAGGCTTGCATGGGTCGTGGAAACTAAGATGGCGGCCGTGGCGCGGACTGTCTGAATTTACCACATATATAATATATATATAGGCCTATATTATTTATTAACATCTTACTTACAGGCCGCAAGTACTTCATTAAGGGTGGAAGCTTTGACAACAGCTTTGTGAGCGAGATTGCAGAGAGATTCAAAATTCCAGTTGCTGATTGCCATTCTGCTTTAAAGTTAGTAAAAAATCTATGGTTATAGGCCTTATTGTTTTTTTTTTTTAAATATATAAAATTTCATTTTCGTGGACAAGCTAATGTAATATGAATTCAGTCCTGCTGGTTCAATGCTTCAAACCTTAACTTGGTTATAAAATAAAAACCTTCCACTGATTTAAGATTTTTTTTTTTTTTTTAAATTTGAGTTGTTAATATAAAATAAATATTTTTACCATCGTGTATGTTACAATTCACAATTGTCATTAATTATACACTTTCTTCCAGACGTTTCTCTAACAAGGCTACTGTCAGTGATCTGAACCGCCCTTCTGCCCTAGCTTCACTGTGCCCTATTTTGGATTTCAAAGAAACTAATTCAGTACAGCTTGTAAATTGTCAAGAAAAATATGGAGCCATTTGTGTAGAAAGTATGAATTTATTTAATTGTTTAAAACTATGTAGGCTATTTAATAACAACATTCTCGATCAAGGAGTGTTCATTTAAAATTTAGTTTTACACTGAAGTGGCGGGTTGGGGGGGGGGGGGGGGAAAATTTTTTCAAAAAAAATAAATAGTTATTCTAAGTATTTTTGTTTGGAGGTGGAGAATGGAACAAGATATGTATTGACCGAACAGCTATCCAGCCACCTGATCACATAACGAGTTATAAAAAACATCAATCTAAAATAAAATTACGGGCCTATTATTATCCACTTTTTGAACAATGACTGGATTTGATAATAAGATTTCCTAAAAATGTGAAGATTTATTATTGAGTTATTTGCCAAATTGTAATAGTTTATTATCAAAATTATTATTGAATATTCAGCAATGTTCTACAAAATTTTAAACTATAATATGTTTGTATTGCTAAGATTCATAGTAAATTCTTGAATGTATCACCACGTGACTGGAATGACACACACACACAGAGTTAACTAGTCGAATGTCTGGGTGGAAGGAGTAAGAGGAGTTGACTTCCACCGAGCAAATCTCTAAAAAAAATCTAATTAAATGAAATAGAAATATTATTTTCTTTTGCGTCTTAGCAAACTTTAAATAACTTTAGTTGAAGTAGAAATTTAGTTAACGTTCATAAGAATCCCCAACCCCACTTACCAACTAAGGCTGTAATCAAACCCGTCTCACTAGAGTTTATGTCTCATGCCCTCAAGCGCAGGATTAATGCTGATATCCCTTATTGTAATAACATGAGTAGCCTACTGACTAAACCTGGTGTTTTAGTTCAAAATAGCAATTTAAATATAAAAAAAAAAATACAAATCCTGTTTGCTGATGGCATGTGTACTATTAGAACTTTATTGAAAAAAAAATATCTGACATAATAATTAATTAGCATCTGTGAAAGAAAAAAAAAACTTTAAAGACAAAGGATTTTTTTTAAAAAGATAAAATGTTTGCTTACAGGTCCCAAAGAAGATGGTGATTGGACTCCATTTATCAACTCCAATAAAGCAGATAAGGATGGGGATGATGAAAATCTATCCAACATAGCTAAATCTGTAGCTAAAGGCATTTTGGTGAGTTAATATGTGAAACAAGATATTTTCAGATTTTTTTTAAACAAGTAATTAAATAAATTTGCTGAGCTTATTGTAGGCCCTAAATATAAATCCTTAAAATTCAAGGAGCTTTAAGTTTAAGTCTCATTTATTTATATATTTTTTGCATAGGTTAAATAAAATGTCTTAATAAGAATCAGACCATTATAAACATTATCATTTATTATATTATATTTCTAATTTTATGATATTCAAGTTATAAAATTGATGAAAAAAAATAATTATTTAATGACGTACTTTGACCTTGACATTACTTGTTGCATTTTAAGAGAATTCAATAAATCAGTATAAAACTTCTCTACAATCTTCTTCAAGACTGGCATTAAGCTGTGCAAGAACCCACTTGCTGTAAAGTGCAGAGCAGTCGGTACACAGACCTACTATGACAAATCAAATACTAATGGCTTGAAACTGGACAGAGCTTGTGACAAGAATGGCATTAAATGTAGCAATAAAAAACAGGACAAAGGAGTCACTTGTCCAGATTTTGAAATTCAGTTTCTATGTCCAAAGCAAAGTATGTAGTCCATGTTTATTATTATTAATTTTTTTTAAACTTCGATTTTCAACTTTTTTTTTTACTTTGATTTTTAATTTTTTTTTTTTTAAGACAAGAAACTAAATAGAGTAATATCTGGTTACAAATAATGTTTTGCTAATCATATTAAATTTTGAGATTTAAAAAAACACAGGGTTTTGGTAGACATTTTCATGAGTGTTTCTCATCCAGCAACTGCTGAATCTCATTCACAGTTTTCAAACAAAACACCCTTTCCGCTGACTGTTATTCAGTTGCATAAATCCAATCATTGTGTTTTGGGTATCCCCTGATCTACTTTTATGTTTCCTTTCCTAAAGTAACTTTCCCTTATATTATTTTGCACTTATGGCAGGCATAAGACTGCACAGTTAATGATATGAAAAAGTGCTTTTATTGTATAATGCATTTATTATCTCCTTTCCAACTAAATTCATTTACCAATCACTAACTTTCCAAATATCAAAAGGTTTCACAAAGAATAATCTGGCTTTAAAAAAAACACTGAGTCATTGAATGGACAGGGTTTCTTACATTTGCATTGTTTAATTAATAATTATAATTAAATAATATATATTTGTGAATATATTTTTAAAAAATGTTTCAGACATCTATGTTGTAAATATATTCACTGAAATATAACTCTTATATATACTTTTTTTTTAAAAACCCAATGACATTCGGTTTTTCAGCTCTGAAGGACTGTGCTGTTGATAGTGTGAGGAGAGAGTGTGAACAGCAAAGAAAAGAATGTGTCATGTCCCCTCTAGGGGCAGTTTGTGTCAAGAAACAAAAAGAGAGGACAGGAAAGGAAGTTATTGGAACTGATGAGTGTACTATCAACTCACAAACCTATCGTAAGTGTGTGACCCTAAACCCATCCCCCCCCCCCCGGCCACCATAACCCACCCCCCCTCACTATATTTTCTCATAGGGCCATATAGTTAAAATAGAAAGATGTAGATATGGTGGTCTTTTAAGTAAAAAATAAAAGGCCAAACTTATTAGCATTAGTCTCTGTTATTAATTCTTTAAAAAGGTTGATCATAAGTAGCTTCACATAATTTATGATGTAGATCAACAGCGTTGGCGGTAGCTTTGGATAAAAGAAGAGATCCCCAACTTCGAGTCTTTAATGTAAATTATCTCATATGAAATTTTAAAATGTTTTAGGAAGAACACTCAATACTTTTCCCCCCTACTTCCTATTGCTGCGGTTACACATTTCTTGCTGACCACATAGATAGGAATGGGACACACTAGCTACGAAGCACTCCCCACCCCCTACTCATCTTCCTGACTGCAACAACTTATTTTTATTTCATTAAGCTGAAAATGGTATCTCCCTAATCATAATACTTGTATCATTATTGTTTAATATTTCATGTTACGCCAAACTACCCAAACAAGAAAATACAAAAACAATATTTTTTTTAAAAACAACAATAAAAAAAAACAAACAACAAAAACACAACTTTAATTATTTTTTTTAATTTTAAACCTTTGTGTTGTTTTTTTTGTCACACAGAGGTGTTTGAGTGTGAATCAAAGGGCGATCCGCATTACACCACTCCAGATGGTAGCAGAATTGATTTCCAAGGAACATGTACATACAATCTGATCTCAACATGTAATGGTTATGAAGGTACTGCAGACTTTCCTGAATTTAGGTAAGAGGATGAGGAGACATCTCCTATTAGCTTATTACTTAAGTAAAAACATAAACATTTCAAAGTACAGACAATTAAAAAAGCAAAGCAAAATTTAGGAAAAAGTGTAGTTTAAAAAAAAGTATTGCTGTTAAAGACCTATTGTACTTCCTTTTTTTAAATTTAAGCAGTTAATTGTGATCTTATATTTAGACAAAATCCCACTTAAGAACTTTATTTTCAACTTAAGTTCCAAATTGCAATAATGTTTAATTTGATTCTGAGTCGAAGAAATGGTAAATAAAAAAGAAAATTGAAATAATCCTTTAAAAATTTAAAGTTTAAGTTGTATCCCCCGCTAAAAAATTTAAAAGAAAAATTATTTTTATTTTTACAAAAAAACATAATTGTAAGGAATTCAATTCAAATCCTAATATGAGTAGGAAATCATAATATGAGTAGGAAATCATAAGATGAGTAGGAAATCATAATATGAGCAGGAAATCATAATGTGAGTAGGAAATCATAATATGAGTATGAAATCATAATAAGAGTAGGCAATCCTAATAAGAGTAGGCAATCATAATATGAGTAGGAAATCATAATATGAGTAGGAAATCATAATATGAGTAGGAAATCCTGATATCATTTTTTTCTATTGTAGCTTATCATCTTGAAACTTAAAGCTTCACCTTTGCGCAAAAAATGGCAGCATAATCACACAAAACATTAAACCTAGTTGATGACATTTCAGTAGGAACTCATTTAAGCTTTATTAAATAAATAGTAAATAGATTTATTCATGGCAATAATGTTGCACTCCTGAACCCTCATGGTAGTCCAAGGCCATCAACAAATTTAAACATTATATCTCCCTAAATTTAAGAGAGAAAAAAATTAGTGCTGTCATTTAGATTTCACCACGACCTTGTTCCTGTTCTTATTTAAAGTCCTAGTGTAGATATTCTCAAAGTGGTTAAAGTAACATGACTCTTGCATGCTTCCGCAGTGTCTGGTCTTCCAACCAGAAGAATGATCCTTCAGACAAAGTGTCTATAACTAAAGCTTTCTTCTTCATACTGGCTGGCTTTAAATATTTCTTCGGGGAAAATGGAAATTTCTCTATTGATGGGGTAAGGAAAAAAAAAAGTATCATTCATCATTAAAACACTGATAAATTGAATAGTTGTTTTTTTTTGTGCAATAAAATTCATTTAAAGAAAAATTAATTTTGGAATCAGATCACTTAATTAATCTGATTAAAACTAATTTTATGCTATTGAAAAGGGAAAGCCTATATGATTTATAGAAACTAAACAGTAAATATATCTTTGAAGACATTTCTGTTCTCTGATGCATATTCAAAATGATGACCCGTCTGCTGTTGTTGTTTTTTTTTTGGTACACAGCTAGGGCGCAACCCAATAGAGTTCGCAGATGATCAGATTGAAATTGATGCTCAACCCAAGGGTAACACATTTCTCTTCACCATTCGCACAAAACACTGCATTACAATCAGATGGGATAACAGACAAGGATTATCCGTAAGTAATTTTAATCTAATAAGAGGTCTGTGGATTGAATGCCAGTCCACAAGCTTGGGATTAACTCAGTTTAGACCAGCTTGATAAATACTCTGACACACTGTCCAGTTACATGCACTCTTCTTTAATAATTTGAAGGCGGATAGCAAGAGATCTCAATCTAGTCATATCAACAATAACACTATATGACTGAAACAGTATGTGACTGAAAGACTATGAGACTAAAAAACTATGTGACTTAAACAGTATGTGACTGAAACAGTATGTGACTGAAACACTATGTGACTGAAACAGTATGTGACTAAAACAGTATGTGACTGAAACACTATATGACTGACACAGTATGTGACTGAAACATTATATGACTGAAACAGTATGTGACTGAAACAGTATGTGACTGAAACAGTATGTGACTGAAACACTATGTGACTGAAACACTATGTGACTGAAACAGTATGTGACAGAAACTCTATGTGACTGCAACACTATGTGACTACAACACTATGTGACTGAAACACTATGTGACTGAAACAGTTTGTGACTGAAACAGTATGTGACTGAAACACTATGTGACTGAAACAGTATGTGACTGAAACACTATGTGATTGAAACAGTTTGTGACTGAAACACTATGTGACTGAAACACTATGTGACTATAACACTATGTGACTATGAAACTATGGGAACATAACTCTATGTGACTGAAACATCATGTGGCTTTAACACTGTGACTATAACTCTATGTGACTATAACACTATGTGATTGAAACACTATTTGACAATAATACTATGTTATGACCAGCCACATAACTTGACCTGAGCTGACCAGCCACATAATTTGACCTGACCTGACCAGCCACATAACTTGACCTGCTGACCAGCCACACAACTCGACCTGAGTTAACCAGCCACACAACTTTACCCGAGCTGACCAGCCACATAACTTGATCTGAACTGACAAGCCACATAATGTGACCTGAACTGATCAGTCAAATTAATTAAATAATAATGATGTTCAAACAGATAATTTAAAAGAATGTAAAATAATAAAATTTTAATATGTTTTTTTTCTTCAATTTCACACTAATTTTTGAGTAGGTATTAATCCCAGAGTCTTACAAGAACAGTGTTTGTGGAATCTGTGGCAACTTTGACGGGGACCCAACCAACGATTTGACTATTCCAGGTTCCAATAAAATCGTCACTGAGGATGTTCTTGGCAGATATCATATGGTGGCTGGAGAAAGTGGTAATGGGTAAGTCTTCTGCAGACTTAATTGGATATGTTAAATGTGTTTTATTTTACAGCATTCAGACTAAAGCACTCAATAGAGATTGTAACTTAACACATATTTTTTTTTTTTTGTGTTGAATTTAGATGTGTAGATGTTACAAACATTCCTAAGGCTTGCTCTCCTGAAGATCAAAAGAAGTTCAGTGCCTTGGATGCTTGTGGTCACTTGAACCCTGACATAAATGATAATTTTGCATCGAAAGTGGTAATTATTATTTTTTACAGTTGAAGATTTGACTGTTTTTGTAATGTTTACTTTTTAACGCTCGTATTGTGTGACAGTAGTATATTTATAAAAATTAATACCAAATCATTTTCAGTGAATTTAAGGTAATGGCTGAAGAAAGTTTGATAAGTGAATCATTTGGAGGATGACAGGAATGGCTGTACTTATTCAATACTGCAGAGATTATGTGTTAAATAGGAATCATATAAATCATTAATTCACCCTAAAATTTTCTTAGGCATATCATTCTATGATCATGGAAAAAAAAGTTATAAGTACTTTGACATCTGGAATAGTTCTTCTAAACTATCCACGTTTATCATATCATTCTAGATCAGAAATGTAATAATTATGGTGCTGTTTTAAAAAAATATTTTTTATGGCCCTTTGGAATTTATTTGGCCATATACTTTTTTTTTTAGAAATGTTTTAAATTTAAAATGTTTCTGTCCATTATTAAATTTAACTTTCCTCCACTATGCTTGTGATTTCCAACCACTTATATATATATTTTAAATTTTACCAACCTTTCAATAGCTAACTGGGTGTGGTGGTGAGTCTAAAAAAAAAAATAAAAATAGATTGGCCAACATCTTCAATAACTGTGTAAGAGATCATTGTTGGTTGGCAAACTTCACTGCCATTGGGCGTTGTCATGCACTTGAGTCTGCAATTGAAGAGGTATCTCGTACCCTGGCCTTAAATGATCCAAAACTTGATGACTTATGGCGTAAATCTTCTGGCTGTGGTAAGTATTGAACCAAATGAAATGTTATTATGTATAAGGCTTTTGAATTTAAAAATATTTTTTTTTGTGGACATCGTAAGGGATTTAAAATAAAGAGTAAAATGCATTTCAATGTAAAAAAAAAAATTCACACCATTTAAAACATTTGCTCTCCAGCATAATTCTGGGTGGGATACATTTTATTGGGATTAATTCAATGCTTATTCTTATATTACTTGGAGAATCAATATTATCTTAAGATACTTTATAACAAGATCGACACATTGTATTTGTGATCCATTAAAAAAAAAATATGTTCTGTTGGTAACAAGAATTTTTTAATTGATTACATTTTTCTGATGATCAGTTCTCTTGATATTTACTTTTTTAATTTTATAGATAAAGACGCTGAGGTTCTTTGTGGTGGTCGTGAAAATACTGTCTACTCCAGTAGCTACTTACAGCACTGTCAAGACAGTTGTGCTGAACGCACAAAGTCAGTCACCTGTCGGGATCTGGAGAGAAGATCTGGCTGTGTTTGTAAAGAGGGCTACCTCCTGGATGCCAAATTGAACTGTGTACCTGAGATAGAGTGTGATAAATCTTGTGTTGCGCTATCAGAAAAGGGAGAAAGGATTCAATTACAGGCAAGTCTAATCCTTGACAATGAAGTGGATTGTCTTTCATTTTTAAAAAAAAAATGATGTCACTTTGCAAAAAAATTAATTATTCAATCAAAATTTATGTATCCATGATAAAACAAAATACAAATTAGCTACAGTGTACTTTTTCATTCAAAGTAAAATTTGATTGCAGCTACTTGCCAGTAGTGAGCATACATTTTTTTAGTAACAGACTGATATTAAAAATGTTGTTTTTATGGTTTGTTTTAAACTTTAACATTCTTAGTTAAAAAAAAAAAAAAGCCAATAAATTGTCTTTTAGGATGGTGAGACTGTAAAAATGTTGTTTTTATGGTTTTTTTTAAACTTTAACATTCTTAGTTAAAAAAAAAAAAAAAAGCCAATAAATTGTCTTTTAGGATGGTGAGACTGTAGTTAAAGAGCCCTGCAGAAAGACTTTGACATGCAAGAAAGGTGTTCTTGAGGAGACAAAGCTCACTCAATGCTCTGCCAATGCTGAGTGTGTCAACAATGGGAAAACTTGTGCGTGCAAAGCAGGATTCCAAGGAAATGGATATGAATGTAAATGCCTTTAGTTTTATCTTTTAACTAGAAATCGTGGTGGTGGTGTGTGTCGTTAGTCAAATAATGGTTGTGGTTTGTGAATTTCCCATCTACTTAAGTTACCTAACAAAACATGCATTCTGGTAAAACACTTTATAAGAATACAAGTTAGTGCCGACATCTGAAAATTTTATTATGCATGTCTGTTGAACACAGTGATTTAGCCATACAAACATACATACATACATAAATAAATACATACATACATGCATATCCAGGGAATTATAATTTGTGGTAAGACTCTTTTTAAAAGTAAAAGCATGTTTGCTTTAACATGCAATACGTATGTACATTAAATGATTTTTTTAAAGCCATTAACACTAACAGTTATATTATCATGGCTCCATAGCTGTATTCTTATCTTAAATGTTGTGAGTTCTTTTGTCAGATTGTAGGGATATGATGACACACACCCCCCCCTCCCCCCCCCCCCCAAATTGTCAATCTGCAAATGAAATGTTTACATTTTTATTTTCCCCTTTCAAGAAGTCAGTTTTGTGTATGAAAAATAAAATTAATAAAAGTAATAGATGAATTGAAAATGCTTTAAAAAAGAAAACTCTTCAATTAAACAAACTGAATACCCTCAAACGTCAACAAAATGTTTTAATAAGTGTTTTGATTATTTAGTATAATAGAAAATTATACACGTCAACCTTTTTGAGGTACAGCTATAATATTGTTTCAGTCATGGCTGGGAGTCTTAGTTGGAAAATAAGTTATGTCATATTAAAAAGCAAGGGAATGATATAACTAAATTTTATTTACTCTGATTTGGTATTTTTTCTCAATACTAGTTAGTAGTTTAAATATTTCAGGGTGGTTGGGGGGACACCTGACCCCCCCCATCATCCTTGACCTGTGCTGTTGGTGTCCATGTCATAATACATTGCATCATATCTAATTTCCCTTTCCATGGTCCATATTAAAATCAAATTGTTTCATTAATACAGGCAACAGTTTAATTAATTGTCGGAAGGGTTACAAAGCAAGTGGAACAAAATGCCTAAAATTATCCCTTGAAAAGGCTACATGGCAAACAGCTGCAGTCTCCTGTGGAGCTGATGGAGCACAATTGGCCAGGTGAAACTTTATAATAAATTAAAAAATGTAATCAATATTTTTAAAATTCAAGGTTATAGTGAGTTTTATATTGAAATGAATATGTGAAGAATAAACTTCCTAGATTTAACATATTACTTCAAAGGAAATATTTTAAATGGGAAATTTGTAAGAAAGGCTTAATATGTTATAAATCTTTACAAATTCTTTAAAATTACTTTGAAGTGTGGTGAAAAATTTGTTTCTTAGTAGATCTACTCTAATATACATAATACAAAGTTTTTCATCAACTTCATATTTAAATACATAAATTAGACGAATAAACAAGAACTCTGTTCAAACAAAAAGCCAAGAGTCTGTTCAAAATTACAACTCACACTGAAGAACTCATCAGTTATTCATACCACGCAATTATTTAATCAAAGTTTTGTTACATTCTAATTTTAAGAAACAACAAAAAACAAAGATTTTTCAGGACTGAAAAAATATGCACAATAAAGAAAGAAAAAAAAACTACATTAATTTTGATAAAAATAAAGTATCTTATTTTTCTTAAATGATCATCATTAGCTCATATGTCAGAGCTATGTTTGCTTAAATCATAGAATGCATTATAAAGCAAACAAAAAAAGCTTTTCTTAACCCAAATCTCAACTAATTATGATTCTGTTTTCAATTTAAAAAAAAAAAAAAACTGAATCTAGATATGATTCAGATTTAGATTTGCCGATTGGCGAATTCTTGGAGAGTGCTGTACAAGAGTATATCCAATCAACTGGTAAATCATTTTTCAAAAGTGCATGTTAAGATTATTTAACTGATTTGTGACAGGTCAAATACTCACCTGAGACATTAATTCACGAGGAGTTCTAATTTAGAAATTTCTTAAATAAGAATAAATTTCCTTTTTTTTATTTATTGTCTTTATGTATGTGTGAGCCCTTGTGTATAAAACGTCTTCATAATAATAATTGCTGGAGATTCAATCAAGTTTGATTTCTAAACACAGGTACTTCACGAAGCATTCCATGCAGAGAGAAGAGTTCGTGCAATGCACCCAAGAACCAAAATATTGCTTCAATAAGATGCAAAGATACTAAATTCGTGAAAGATTGTGAGGGTAAATTACAAATCTCAAGTGACAGGACCAAATTCACTGTAGGAGTAGGCTGCAAGGCAACTGATTTCATTGTAGAAACTGTTGATTGTAAGTATATCAGAAAAACATAATTTAGGCATTCTGTGAGGGCAATAAAAAACTAAACCGGATTTATTTGCCAAAAACAAACTTAATAATAAATGCTTTGTATAATACATTTTTCATTAGTAGTTCTTATCTTAAAATGCACTATAAATTAATTTTCCGATCTACTATTTTAATTCGCAGCTAAAAACTTCATCTCACGTCAATCAATTTGTAAGTATATATTGTATTTTTAAAAATATAATAACTAGAAATAAACCCAGAAACCATGGCGGCGGCAATGCATGTAATTCTCATCTGATTAAGTTAGTTGAGAAAACATGTATTAACACATTATATATGAATCCAAATTAGTGCTAACTTCTCAGAATTACACCCATACATACATACATACATACTTACATACATACATACATGCATACGTATGTACATTCATACTTACATATGTACATACATAAATACATACATACATACATACATACATACATACATACATACATGCATACATGCATACATACATATATACTTACATACATACGTACATAGATATATACACATATATACATACATACATACATACACACATACATAGGCCTACATCATACACATATATACAAAATACATACATACCTAGAAAATTATAATTTGTGATAAACACATTAAATTTTGTCCCATTTTAATTATAATAAATCTTGATTTTAATTACTAAACGCCTTTATTTACTCAGTTTAAAAATAAAAAATAAATTTAAAAAAGAATTATCTTTAACCTATGAAAACTGTAAATGTTTCTATAACATTGACTCTAACATTACTAAACATAACATTACTAAACGCCTTTATTTACTCAGTTTAAAAATAAAAAAGAATTATCTTTAATCTATGAAAAGTGTAAATGTTTCTATAACATTGACTCTTGGTTTAATCCTCAACCATATTTGTATCCCATCAATGCTATAGCTGCATGGATCGGTGGTAACACAAACGTCCTTGCACCAAATAAAAGATCAAGAAACAAGGCTGCATGTAATGTTGACGCCCCCAGACTGGTTGATATAAAAAATATTCAGAACTCTTTTGGCTGCTTCCAAGCTACTAAAAACTTAGACGGACTTGTTATCAATCCCAATCCAAACTGTGATGAATTACTTCCCTATATTTGTGAATATGGTGAGTCTCCTAATGAAGAAGAAAATGTATTTTTTTGTGGTAAAAATGCTGCTAATTTTTTCAAAAAAGTTAACGAAACTTGGTCATTTAAATTTCATGAAAGTGATGGGAGGAATATTTTTCTAATATTTTGTTTTAAGGCCATAGCATTTTAATATATGTTTTGATTTTGTCTCTTCTGTTGTAAGTCCAAAATAGGACAATTTTTTTACCACATCATAAATTGTCTATGTTCCAAGAACATTTGTTTAACTTGTCAAAATACTGATCATTGGAACATTAATTAATCAGGCTTCTGCACATATGGGGAAAATCTATTGTAAAATACCCTAAAGAATTTTATGCATCACATGCTAATTGAGATAACTCTTAATTTCTTTTAGACAATACTAAAGAGAACACAAACGGTAAGTAAAGACATATATTTAGCCAGTTTATTTATATTTGTTTTTAAAACAATATTATTTGTGATTAAGTTAATTTTAAAGTTATTACAAAAATTTTTTAATATAAAAATTATTCTCAACATTTCACATTCTTTTTTTCATTTTCTAGATCTCAATGACTTCCAAGTTTTACGTGAAAAAAGTAACCAACAAGAGGCAGTTGACAAATGTGCCGCTATTGGAAGGCCTTTGGCTACACTTAAAAACAAAGAACAATTGGAGCTGGCTCAAAAATTTGCTAATACACAAGGGTAAACTATTTTAAAAGAGATCAAATGAAGCTTCTAAAAAAAAATAATAAATAGAGATTATTAGATGTATTTGACGGAGTTAAAATGACATCCACTCTTCTGATTCATGACCTTGCCAATGGATCAAATAACTAAGTTGACTGAAATACATATAAGCCAACTCATTTTTTCAGGATATTAAAATTAAAAGAATACATAGTCTAATTTAATAGCTTGTGCTTACTTAACTGGTCTTTTTTTATGTATTACAGAGATAATGTATGGTTGTCATTGCGCTTTGACACAAATAGAGGTGACTATATTTCCGCAGATGGAATAACATTGAGTGCTGGCTTTTCAACCTTTAAAACTAAGCCAGAGGTAAAATATCACTGTTTCACTTTTCCTAATAGGCTTTCCTTCTAATATATGACCATTATGACTATGGGGTATGTCTAAATTTGTGTAAATCAGAGTAACATGCCACCTACTCTTTTCCTTTCTGGTAGGTTCTTAAATCTTGTTTTTTGTTTTGAAACTTTATTTTTAGTAAGTTGAGTAAGGCTAATTAAAAAATACCCAATATCACTTTAAAAAAAAAAGTATTCTTTTAAAGTGAATAATTTATTTCCTTTTAATTTACAGTACCATTATTCAATCCATGTTTAAATTGCCAAATGAAATCATTAAAAAATTAAAATGTCCATAGAACATAGTATGATGCTAATAGTTTTAAAAAACTAAGTATTTATTTTAATACTCAGATTCTATAGAAAATACCTTTTGGTTTTAAAACAAAACTACAGTTATGATTAAAATCTACTGTGCAAATTAAAGGATACCAATTGATGTAAAATTCGTTATCCTTTTATTTCTTAAACCTTTTATAATGGACATCGAAAATTTTAAGGCTTTTTTTGTTGCTCAGATTAATAAACTTATGGGGCCTACATTTTTTTTAATGAATAAGTTTAAGTCCAAATGAAATTAATTTTTAAATTAAATCATGAATTAATATAGAAATCTCTGTTACCTCTGTTTTTGTTGGTGAAGTAATAATAGAAATCACATCTTACTAAAGTAAAATTGCAGGCCATTTAATTCATATTCAGAGATGCACTATATATTATCAAAATAAGAGAAATTCTATAGTCTGAAATGTATCACGTTTTAGCTTACCGTATGATAGAAGAATGTCATTTAACCTTTATTTTTTCAATATAATTCACATGCAGTCTAAGGTCAAGTTCACGGAAGTTCACTGCATATCTGTCAACAAGAAGGGTGTAATGAGCACAGAGCAGTGTAACACACAGTTTTACCCACTGTGTGGACCTCGTTGTACGTTGAATATTTTTCTTTTGAAAGTTTTTTCAATGGCCTACTCTTGTAGTATAAAATATATTGAATAGTATTGAAAAATATCTCAAAACACTTCAAAAGAAGCAACCACAAGTGCTTTGACAATTACCGCCATTGTTTCCTGTACCAACACAACTGCAAGGGTAAACTTAGTGAACAAGTGAATACTGGTGAAAAACACATCTATGGGTCCTTAACAACACATGGCATGAATGTCATGTGCTTCTTCACTAGATAGATATTTTCCCACCCCTCTCCTTTTTACAACCAACTGCTATGGACTAAATTCCTCCCCCCTGTACCTATAACCTTATAACCTACAAATGGTCAGTACGATCCTCTCACCATCCTCTCAGATACAGCATCTCTGTATTCTCAGATACAATATTTCAAATAAGTTTTAATATTTGTGTTCGTCTTTGCATCATTTTTTCAGGTATTACCATACTGTGTTTAACATATTTCCTTCTTCCAAAAATATGTTTGTCTCTTCTCTTTCATATCATTTAATAGTATGAGATTATAAATGTTAAAATTTGCGATGGTTAGAATCTATTTTTAATGCAATTTGTATCTGGGGCATTCTTAGAAATTTCTTTTGGGTTTCTAACATATTTATTAAAATGTTACAATTGCTGCTGCACACATATTTACCAAAAGGTTGTTAATTTACGTAACAATAACAATATGAATAATAGTTAGTAAAATAGCCAAATGACACGCATTATCATGATTAAGCATAACATGGAATTAATTTGTGCCCATAGTATGTGATTTAGAATTTTATAGATTTAGAATGGAGTCGTAGGTTTCTCTAGTTACAAAATAAGTTCATTTGATGAGTTAAATTTAAAGAAAAAATCTAAAATGGATCATTATCATTTTTCTTACATTGCCTTATTTGGGACTTTTCCATTGTCCTTTCTAGCTGACATCACTCCCTTTGTGTACAGTCCTTTCTATCCCGTTGATGGCTTCTCATCTCTCAGTGAGTTGCAACAGAAGCTTCAAAGACAAGAACAGCAGGTACTGTATATTGTGAATATTTCACCTTTATCAAACTTTATATGGAGCTTTTATTAAGAAGTTACAAAGAGAAATAATTATTATTTTTAATTTCTTTAAGAATTCACACTAATCAAACTCAAAAGGAAATTTTTCATAGTCATTAGTTTATTAAAGTGTTCATCTCCTCATCACAAATATCAAAATTGTAAATTAATAACTATAACATGTAAAGAAACAATCGAAGAGAGCAACATCCGTTTTGTATGGGGACAAGAGATTTAGAAACTCTTGTTACATTTAAATCATCTTTTATTTTTGTTAAAAAGAACATTAAAGTTTGTTAAAAGTAGTTAAAGTATTCTCCTAAGGAAGCTTTAGTAAAAAAAAATATAAATATCAGTTGAAAGTTTCCCAATTTTTAGGGTTGAACATTTTCAAAACAAAAAGAAAATTAAAAATGAAAATAAACAGATTAATTTTAAATAAAAATGGCTTTTAAATAAATAATAAATGATAATGATTTTAAATAAAAATGGCTTTTAAATATATAAGAAATAATGATTTTAAATAAAAATGGCTCTTAAATATATAACAAATAATGATTTTAAATAAAAATGGCTTTTAAGGAAGTAATAAATAATGATTAAAAAAAGAATCATTTTTTTTTTAAATCTGGGATATCTTAAAATATATTTTTTTAGAGATGTTGGATAAAAATAAACTACTAAAAACTTAATTTGCATGTAGTACTTAAGATTAAAACATTTGTATACATGATAATCTAATCCTTTCCCTTTTAATAATAATATTGAGAGGTCAATTCCACATCAAAATATGTGCAAATAATTTCAATGATTAAAATGGATTTGGGCAGTTCTTCAAGTCTCAACATTTGATCTAAAAAAAGGCATCATAAAAAAAAATTGTGCCATTTAGATGTTGTAAAGTGTTTAAGTTGCAGAACCAATAGAAATATATTTCCTTAATTTGTCTGTTTTCATTATCCCAGGATTATGTATGTGATAAACCGTCTGACATTGAGTGCAGTGCCCTTGCTAAGACAGGACAGTGGGTGACCAACAAAAACCAACAAGGCACGACCATCACTTGCACTGCTGCCTCAATCAAGTGCCGCAAGAATCAAGAAGTTGATTGTAGCACTTTCCGAGTTAGATTCCTCTGTCCCCAGAGTTAGTACTGTAGCACTTGTTTCAACTTTTCATCATTTCTTTAACTGTTACTTTATGATTAACATCAGCCTTTTGAAAACCTTTCTTGAAAATAAAGATTGATTGCAGCATGATTGCTGAAATGTGCTTGTCAGAATTTTTATTATCCTCTCCAAATTCCTTTGAATTCTGTCTTACAAAAAAAATTTAGATTCCTGGTGCAACTTTTTAACATACCTGTATTTTCAGGTGATAACCAATGCAAAGAGTTGGCTACTTTGGGTGCAACACCTTGTGAGGGTGGCCAAACCTGTACCCCGGTCAGGAATCATTTTGTTTGCCAATGTCCATTAGGCTCAGTGTATGATGACCACAGCAAAACCTGTCTTTGTAAGTTAACAAGTTGACACACAGATCAATGCTGATTCCCCACTGTTACTATATATTATTCATTGCTCAGTAAAGTGCAAAAATTCTATTTACTATCCACAAGCTGTATACTACTTAGAACATGTATTACTTTAATAACTCTATCAAAGTAAGTTTCCTTATTTGTGCTTCTGGTCAAATTTGTTATTAATCCCAAAAAATTCCAAATGACTGGTCTGCTTGTAATGAAACATATTCTTTGGTACTGATGTGTGAAGAAAATTGATATAAATTAATTCTTTAAAAAAAAATTCACAACTTGACCATATATCATGTCTCTAAGACACATTAAAAAAAAATTAATAGTAATAAGCTTAGACTATTTTTGTCCTTTTGCATGACAGCATTCTGTGGTGAGTGCTCAGCCTGGGGTGACCCTCACTACACTACCTTCAAAGGGGACAAGTACAATTTCATGGGCACATGCACGTATGTATACACTTTTAAATTTCATTCAATAATCTTTTTTTTCATTGTTTATTTTCCTCTGAAAGCATAGATGCTTGTGCTGGTAAATTATTAGACATAGAATTTAAAACACAATAGTGCTGGAGAGCAATTGTTGACTTTAGCAGAACTCACTCACAGCAAGTATAATAAAGCAGATTTTTGATGATCATAGATTTCATAGATTATTCAGTAATATTTCCTATGTGGTTGTACTTATTTGGGGCTATTGTGTGGACACACCAGGGCATGACAAAAACCCAGCAATACTCGAAAAATGAATCAATAGGACTACAATCCAAGGACTTCATATGATAGATAGTAGAATGGGTAATGAAAATATGTTTACACCTTCGAAGTTTTATCTTATTTTCATGGTAGAGTTTAACTGAACACCAAGAATTGATAATGTGGAATTCTTCCTAATGGCTCATAATTAAACTATGTTTCTACTAGATTTAACAATATAATAATGCAACCATTTACTCTTTGGATTTAGGGCACCACTGAGATGGTGCACAGTTTTGGTAAAACTATTTGCACTGCCTTAAAGCCGCCACTTGTGATAAACTATGTTTCTACCATCTTTATAACATATTTATCCTTTGATCTCGCTTCATCAGCTACCTGTTCAGTGGTGTTTGTGATGCCTCTAAAGTGGGCTCAGCCCCAAGCTACGAGGTAATCACCAAGAATTCTCCTTGCGGAAAACCTGGTGCAACTTGCATCAGTAGAGTTGATGTTGTGGTCAGGAACATCCCTGTGATGGAAAATGGACTGGAGGTCAAGAAAAACTTGGTCTTCAGGGTCAACGTTGGTGCCTCAAGCTACAAGGTAAAGAGATGTCACTTTTTTTGCCAGGATGGGCTTTACTTTCGGTGGGCTATTATTAACAAGTGTAGGTCCATGTCGTTGGGACAGTATATTTTCTTTTACCCCTCCACAGCTCAATGATGTTGAGATATCACAGACAGAGTATGGCATTCAAGGAGCATACACCGCCATAGTGAGGGAAGCTTACTTTGAAGTGACATTCCCCAGATTGGGTCTCTCTGTCTTCCTCAGTGGCACCAAACTCAGAGTACAAGCCCCAGGTACCCGTCAAAGATCCGCTAACCTTACTCTTTAAAAAACAAAACAATTCAACCTTCTTTTTATTTCCAGCCATTAAGCTGCAAGAAATACTTTAAGCAATAATAATTCACGATTACATTTTGTGCTCATTTATTGGCATTTGCTTCCAATGCAACAGTTTTATTTCATTAATGGCACTCACAATTTGAAGTGCGTTACAATTCTAAATCAACTGTCAATTAATTTAAAGTTAAAGTAGAATGCTGCTTAAAGGACATAAGAAGAAATTAAAAATTAACTATTGTTACAAAGTAAAAGAGGAAGGTTGAGAGTATCCAAAGTAAACCATTATTATTTCAAAAATATTATGTACAATTCTCCAAGAAGCCATTTTTTGCCATCAGTAATTAGTTTCACAATCAACAACAAATACATTGCTCCACATTATTATAATCATAGAAAATGCCACCTTTAAATGCAGGTTGCCATTCATTTAAATTTGAATGAATGATATCATTTCCAGGTCACTTTATCGACAACATGTGCGGTCTGTGTGGAAACTGTCAAGATTCCAAATTTAGGCTTCGTAATGGCACAGTTGTCAGTGTACCCAGCCGCAACAAAGATTTGGATGACAAAACTATGGCTTTGTTTGCTTCTGATTCAAAGGTTTATGATCCTGAGTCCGATTCTGCTCAGTAAGTTTTTCTTTAATACTTTGGAGAGATGAAAAAATTGAATTGGGAAAGGGGGGAGGGGGGGGGATATAATCTTGATTTATTACTTTTAAGCAATTCTACGACAGCTTTATTTACAGTTTCTCACTTGATGGTTTCAGCTTTTGGAGACATGCTTTTATCATCCTATTATCATTTTATCATCCTATTGTAGTCATGTGGTAAATATACAGCGAATAGTTTTTAAATATATATATATTCATATGTTTAAATGGGTTTATAAACTCAGAGAAATGCAGATCTTGAGGACTATAGCCTTTATTTTGTTCTTTAGAGAGTTGTATAAAAAGGAGTGATAGAAGAAAATAAATCCTAAGAGAAATTGTTATAAAAAGTTCCAAGCAAAAGGATCTGGAGAAAAATTGTAAGAGAAAGGAGAATGCCTGAAAAGGTACACATTGTATAGGTTAGCAATGTCCTGACTAACATTTGAATTACACAACTAATAAATTAGCATGTTAGACAACTCTGTAATTCCAGGGTATGACAAGTATACTTAACTAACAATATAGATGCATGATAAACATTTAGTACCTGTTATTGTTATACAAATGGCATTAAAATTATATTCTTGTAATTGTAATGATGCTTATAAAAGAAATCATGTGGCAAGGTTTAACATGAAGCACGTACCCCGTCTTACATTCAGAATCAGTGTGGGATGTGAGGGCTAACATACAGGTCTAGAAATTAAGACTGTACTGTCATCAACGTATTGTGTCTATATAAGATGCACCCATAGCAGGACAGTTTCTACAATACAGTAAAACCTCCATTTTGCGACCCTCTCTTAAATGACCTCCTCCAACATAGGATTGGGAAAAAAATTCACAGATGCTTTGTAGCCTACTATATAAACGAGCTCTCTTAAACGACTCCTTCTAAAACGTGACTTGCGACCTTAAAATAATTCAATTTTACGACCTATCACCTGAAAACGTCAGATTCCAAAGCAAAGCTATATTTGTGTGCTTGAAGAAAACAGTTTCGTTGACAACTTTTAACAACAGATGATGCACTAAAGCAGCTAGGAAGTAGTGAAGGGGAAATAACTCCAAGGAGCTGACCAGATTTGCCCTGAGCAGGGGCCTTTCAGACTTTGCCGACACCCTGTCTGGTGTTCAACATGACACACTAAAAGAACATGCACGAGTGGGGGGATCATGCAAACAAACAGAAATAACAGCCTTCTTTAAAAAAAAACCCCAAAAAACAAACTTTTCAATGATAGAATAAGAATAATTATAACAATATTAATGCGATTATCGTATACATAAATAGTTATAAATATTATAACTCTAATCATGCACTCAGCACTTACACATGCTTTTAAACAACTACCATACCAGTACCAGCATTGATTTTTTTTATTTTGGAATGAATGAGGAACAGGCAGATAGTGACTATATTGGTTGTGAGACAGAGTTTAATCTACAGGGTGGGCTAATAAAAGTGAGAACATTTCGTAGTGTAATATTTTACGAGATGTTCTCACTTTTTTTGGCCCACCCTGTATATTTCTGAAAGAAAGATTGTAGATATTGCCTATACTTAATGGTGCGTGTACTTGTTTACTTAATTTTCTAAATATCGTTTTTCAAAAATATCCCACCTCTTTTTTAAGATCCCTCCAATTTAATCCCTCATTTTAATGGCAATTTAAAGGTCGTACACGGAGGTTTTACTATACTATTTGTTTTATATTATACGTGGTTTTATATAGTGTGGTAACCCAGACTAGGGTAGACTTTCAAATTTACTAAGCTATAAGGAATAAATTCCCCTTTCCATCAAGATATTTATATAATAATACACTAGGGTTTCCGATAAAATATATGATTGAACTTAATAAAAAAAAATAACTAATTGTGGTTTCATATCAGAATGGTGGGGGATAAGCCGATCATGTAATGTTATGGTAACCTAACCCATAGGTCAAATTCTGCGCCAATAATGGATGGTAAATGCTCTGCTTCATAAAAGTGTGGCCTACAATGCCAAAATATTATCATCATTGTTATCATCCTTATCATCATCCTTATATAATCCTATTCTACTAAAAAGAAATCAACCAACTCATCTTGTTATTCACATTTTAAACTTTTATTTAAATTATCCCACACTTTCATGATTTAGTCAACTTTGTTTTTTCTTCATATTTAAATTTTCATGGAATCATTAAGGGGAGGTGCGGGTGAGAAATTGACGAAAATGGCAAATTTTGAATAATTTTTTATTAGTAGCTATTTGGTTTTATTAACCATTTCTCTATTACATTTTTATATTTGTTTTTATAAAAGTAAGTTAGAAAATATAATAAATTACAAATTTCCTGACCCTATCAATCAGAAAAATGTCAAAATTGTCCTATTTTTAGTGTTTTTACCCCTTTGTTATGAGTATTTGGAATCGCCCAATCCCTATGTCTTTGGCATGGTTGGAAAGATGGTGATTTCGGGGTCAAGATAAATATAGCTTATGATCACAAAGAAAACTACAAAAGCAACCGAACCTTTCGATCGCCGGTAATGTCTAGCAAAATTTGGTATTTTCCTGTCCTACTTCGTGTATCACGTGATCAAACCCTGACCTTTGAATAAAATAAGCATTTTGATTGGTTCCTATGTAGGAAATCTGTTTATAAAGGTCACTTCCGGTATAAACAAAACCATATCTAATTTCGTGAGGCCTAGCAAGTTCGATATGTAATTTGTCGGTAATAAATTCATTTGAGGAGTTAAAAAACAACTAAATAAGTAAATAACCACACAAAATGAGTTGGCTTTGATTAATTGCCATAATAAACATGATTAATGCTTCTCCTTTTCGGAGAAGACCAAGACTGAGTACACTAAACTACTAAGACTAAGCCTACTCCTAGTGCTAGTCGCTTCAAGTTCAAGCATCGCTACGCTACTTTACCAGCAGGAAAAACATAGAAAAATACTATGCCTTGGTAAGTCTTAAAAATCTATTTTTCATTTAGATTCAAATTTAAAGTACGGTATCAATTATTTATAAGGCTAAGCCTATACTGTGCTCACTATACAACATTGAATGAGGGCTATACTTATACTTTATTATTATTATATTAGTAATAAACACTGTTACTTTTGTGATAGTGAACTGTAGTAAAAATAAAACCTATAAACAATTTATGAATTTAGTTATTGTGACATTTGTCTTACACTGTCCTATATTTATAGCTATTAAAATGGTAATATGAAATTAAATGTAATAAATTTCTCTTTTTTTTTTTTTCATCGCAAATAACATTGTCATTAGTGTTATTTTATTTTAAAGTAAAGTAAGAGTAAGAGCCCTAACAAATTTTGCTTGAAATACGTGTCAACAAGTATGACCTATCAGTCATTAATTTCATTATAGCCTTATATTTTTATTGAGAAGCATTTAATAAAAATATCTAAATACAAGTTTATTGTTTTCAGGAATCATTGAGGAGACGCGCAATGAGGTTGCGGAACACAACAAACCACAACATGCATTATATTTCCTGTTGATAAACTACACTGATCTGTTGTGCCTAGGTCCATTTAGCCCAAAGGACAATATGCACATGAAAAAGAAGGAGTGCCCTAAGTGTATTCCAATGTTTCAGATTCCTCGGCGCAACATATGTTCGATGCATCGAAATAAAAGTAAGCTCAGGCAGAGGATGCAAGAGAAGACTAACACAGATTACATCACAAAACTCATTACGTGTTATTCAAGGACAAAAAGAATAAGACAGTAGTTGAAAGAAACATATCAATATTTCCCTTATTTTAACATTGTATCTCTCTGCGATGTGATTTTCAACATGACGAGTGTCAAAATTTGATACAGTAACTAATTAGATTTTACAATGGAGTTATTGCTCATGAGTTTTCTGGCTCACACAAAAAACAGTTAATATGCTTTTGTGGAAAAATACATGTTGCAACTCAAGTGATTCAAAAGTTGTGAGATAGAAATCAGAAAATTTACAACTGTCAATATTCATTCCGTCATTAGACCTCATAGAACTTACAATTTTTTCTTTACAAGAATAAGAGTTGCATTTTCAGCATTCATGGACAATGCCAAATAACTCTTTGGAATTGCATATTTACCTAGCTTAATTTTATGATGCTGAAATTCTCCAAAATAAGCGAATTATTATTTTTTCGACAAATACAGAATAATAGATAAAAATATATCAATCACAGTGAAAAGTTGAGTGGTCAGGAAAAAAGAAAAATGGACCTGGAAAATGATTAAAAATGTCCGCAATAGGCTAATAAAAAGTTTTTATTCCAATTTTGGTATAAGATTCTTATTTTTCATTGATATTTTCATTGTTTTTGTCGTTTTTCTTCGTTATTTCAGTTTTCTTGTTTTCACTATTTTTGGTCACTAATATCCCTATAACTTTTTTATTTATTATCCAAACCTCACCAAATTTTCACAGTATGTTCAGTGACCAATAATAAACATTTGAATAACCTAGAATTAAGATAACTATCTTAGAAAAGAAAATATGTAAAAAAGAATTCACCCACACCCCTATTTTTTGCATAAAAAATGGGGTCACAATTTCTGACCCTGTAAATTTATAACCAGTCATTACATCAAAAAGTCCTGTTATACAAAGTTTTATTATAGGTTAAATAATCTATGTTTAAAATCTGATAGCAATAACTTAATATTTGTAAAAGCCTTAGTGTTTTAAAAAACACTCAAAAAATAAAGATGGCGGAGGTTTTTATGGGCTACAAAGGCAACCAATGGAAAAATTTTTTTTTTAAAACCTGTTTTGTACCTCCATTTCAATACCAAATAAGGTGTAGTTAAAAAAAATCCTATATGAAGCCTAACAAAAATTTTAGATTTTTCACCCACACCTCCCCTTAAAATGTTTGAACATTTAGGTGCGACGTACCAGTGGCTGTACCTACAGACACATGCAATGACGCAGTGAGAGCTAATCTTGCCCAGCCAAATCTCTGTGGCGTTTTCACAGACAGCACCAGCGCCATCCAGGAATGCTTTACCAAGGTGAGATATTCTTTTAATTTATTTAAAGTCAAAAATAAGATTAGAGTTTCCACAACTCTTTGTCCCATACAGTGGTATTGTTGGGATTAGTGCTGGCCGGGGGCGGACAAAAGAATTTCACTCTCCTGTTGGGTGATAATAACTCTGCAAATTGGTAGAAAATGCCAGCCATTGCATTTAAAGAAAAATGTACCGCCCAGGGGCAGACCACCCCATCTGCACTCCACTTCCTATGCCACTGTCCCCATTTAAAAGGAATATGAAATTATTTTAATCTGATGCAGATAAAATTAATGAATCCCCCAGTTTATACTGTATAATTTGAGTTATGGTATCAAAATATTAAAAACCTGGCATCAAATGTCCAACACATTCTTACATCTGATCTGCTGTTACCTGTTATTCTAATTTGTGCCTTACAAAGTCTTTATTATTTTATTTTGGGGCAACTCAGACAACACTGGATCGTCAAGTCTACTATCAAGATTGTCTCTATGATGCTTGCTTGCAAACTGATTACCAACAGGCTGTATGCACAATGGTTAAGACATTAGCCCAGGAATGTGCCAGCAAAGGTGTTGTACTAGACTGGAGACGAGACAACTTTTGTCGTAAGTCTAATAACCCCCAGTTGCCTGTTTACACTTTTCCATGCTAACTCAAATGAAAAATTAAAGTTAACATTCTGGTTAAAGGGGAACTGAAAAGTAATATTTCATTCATTTGTAACTTTTGTGTGTTTTTTCCATACTTTCAGCTTGCATTAAATGATCTTGAAATCCTTTTTTTTTCTTTGGTGTGATAACATTGTAGCCTTGTCGGATCATAAATAAAATCACAAATAAATTCACACACTAACAAACATTTTGCTGCTCTCTATATAAAATTAAATAATTGAAATTAAATGTTTAGAATAAAAATGAATCTGATTGATCAAACCATTTGTAATGTTGCACTATCAAATGATAAAAAACAAATATGATGCACAACGAAAGTAGGACTTTTTTTTTTTTTTTTTAAACTAGCTAATATAATTAATTTCCAGCAATGAACTGTGGTAGCAAGGTGTACCGTGCTGATGCCTCTTGTGCTCCCACCTGCGGACGTAGCATTTCATCCATACAAGTTTGTAAAGAGACCCCCGAAGAAGGTTGTGTGTGTCCCGCCGGCCAAATGAGGCAAGGAGAGAAATGTGTCACTCCTGAAAAATGCGGATGTAATGTTTACTTGAATGATGGCAAAGTCACTTGGAGCCTGCCTGTGAGTAGATATATTTTTAAAACAGTTTTTTTCTTAATTACAACCCCTCTCTCTGCCCCCCCCAACCAGTATTTAACACGCGTGCAACAAACTCCCTCTGACATGTTAAGGATTATTTTAAGAGCAATGTTCAAATTATCATTTTCCATCTTTTGCAACTTTTGCCCATTGCCACACTCTTTTTAGGACACCCGCAGTTTGCTATGAGCTAAAGAATCAATTGATACATTTATTCATGGAGGTTTTTAAAAATGTTTAATAACTCACAACATATCTTTGCACACCATATCATGGAGCAAACTGTTCAGCTACTGTGAAGCGATCTGTGAACACTTTGTTGTGAGGGTTTCCCTTTGTTTTTTTGTTTTTTTACACATTATAATCTTGCAGGGGGGATATATTTCTTCTCCCTAACTTTCTAAAAACTTCACATGGACAATGTGTGTAATTAGGTCACTTATCAAATGACTGTTAAAATACATTGCTGTTACTCAAGTCTTCGACAGCAAGTACATTATTATTCTCAAAGCTTTGTAGTTTCATTAAGATTTCGTTTTATTTAGTTTTGCACCAATCACGAGTCATTTTTCTATTATTATTAAGTAGTTATTACTCACCAAACAATGGCAGCTGCAATGTGTGAACTTCCCATCTTCTAAATAAACATGACAAATTGTGCATTGAAGTAACCGATTAATAGAATACCAATGCACGCTACCCCCCCCCCCCAGGTATTTAATCACACATTGCCCCTAATTATTTTAATATCCCACCCCCTTTTACGACACTTATTTATTACATCATATTTAAATTTGCACTATTTCATAAAATAAAACAGGGTATTGTTTCAAACCCAATATTAAAAAGTTCAATATCCTTACTGTCTAGGGGTTACAATTACTCAACAAATGTCTCTTTATAAAATATGATACAAGTCATAAAATTCAAACACTTCATCACTCCTACCATTCCAAAACATAACATCCCCATTTAAGAACTCATTTCTTCTTACCCAAAAATGTCACAAAATACAGAGCATATAGCAACAGCTACACAAATACTCTCCGAACCAAACAAGCAATCACAAAAAAAAAAAAAGAAAAGTTCTTAACAGGGTATCCCTACATGGCTCAGCCCTAGATGTCATTTCAAAGAAAAACCACTGTTTAAAAAAATGATGAACAATCTGTAGAAGAAAGTGAATCCCTATGGCATTTTCACCATTTGAATTAATACAAAGTTCAAGGAAAGCCAACTTAAAATTTAATGAATAAAATTTCTATCAGCTCGGAGAGTCGTTCCTCTTGCCCAACTGCCGTGAAAAAGTGACGTGTTTGGTGAACGATGATGGCACTGGCACACTCGTCAGTGCTCCTTTCAATCTTCCCATCAATGCAGAGTGCGACTCCCAGATACCCCCCAGTGTAAAGTGCGCTAGAGGATTCAGTAAGGCCGCCGATGGAAGCTGTCAAAGTAAGTTAACATGAGTCATGGTAAGCCTCGTACATATTTGAAACTATTGTGGATATTTTTTAATTATATATTATTACCTACTGGAAATGAATTTAACAATTAATTTTTACAATGGATTGATAACTAAAAAAAGTGTTCAGCAAATCATTTGAGGAAATAAAAAAAAAGAATGTTATCAAAGCCAGTGATACTGACTGTGAACAATTTATTTCTACTTCTTGCAGAAGTACAAAATTAAAAAAATATGAAATTCAGCTATGGGGGTCATCCATTAATTATGTCAACAAAATGGGGCGGGTGGGGGGGGGGGATTTTGACATTTGTTGTCAATGGGGGAAAGGGGGGAGGGGAGATTAGTTGAGGACAACAATCATGTTTTCTCTTCTGAAATTTTTATCTTAAAAATTGACTGGTTATTACATTATTTTAACAAATTCAATGAGTGTAAATTAATGTATTTAAAAAGTTTATATGGTGATTGACAAGCTTAAGATGCACGTTCATTTTGTGTTTGTGTGTGTGTGTGTGGGGAGGGGGGTTATAGAAACATAATTAATGTGGAGCGGGGCAGCGGGGGGTAAAAATTGCTTAAAAATTGTTGATGTAATTAATGGCACCCCCTATGCTAATTTTACCCACATTTCTATAACGTCTTGTGAAGTCACCAGATGAGTAAAGTCTAGACCTGTCCATGGTCTTATTTATATCTATATATACCCATGGTGAGAAGCTAACAGAAATGGTTACATAACTGAGAAAGAGATAATTCACAGTGTGTTAACAAAGGTCGATGAAGATGGAAAAGTGGCATGATTTAATGGTGTTGAGCGGGGGAAAAAATGTGTCACCAAGTTAAATGTAGCAAATGTAAACACAAGTTTAAAAAATGTCGAGTGGACATTAAGTAATATTATTTTAGAATCAAAGCAGGATTGTTGACATTACAGAAACTCACCGTCTCTGCATCTCTCTTTCTCTCCATCTCTCTATCTCTCTATCTCTCAACTCACTGTCTCTGCGTCTCTCTCTTTTTCTATCTCTCTTTCTCTCAACTCACCATCTCTGCGTCTCTCTCTTTCTCTCTATCTCTCTAATTTAAATAATAATTTTATTCAATTTCTTCTTACCATTTAATTCTCAAAGGAAATCCAGATGTATGCCTTAAAGGTTATGTGGATGTGAAAGGAGTCTGCCTTAAAGTCACAGATGAACCAAAGACATGGAGGGGAGCTGTCCAGGTCTGTAATGAAGCTAATGGAAAACTGGTTACTATTGATACTGACGGCAAAGCTGAATCTGTGTTGCAACTCTTGAAAGATAAAAAATATGGTGAGGCTTTTGGTAGATTTTCAATTTTTGTTTTAACATATGTGTCTCCCTTGCACTTTTTTTCCATCCAGTACATTTAGATTAATAGAATAGAATTGTTGGAATTTTTACTAATTTTTTATGGGTGGGTGGGGGGTGTGTAGGAAGGTAACAGGGTGTGGGGGTGTATTGGAAGGTGACAGGGTATAACATTAAGTGAAAATGAGGCATTTAACTTTGGCCTGATCACAGGCTCTTATAGAGGTGAATAAAAATCAAACATTACTCATAATCAGCTTCTGTAGAACACCAATACGTACAGATTACTGGCAATGACTTCACACAGTTTAAAATAAAAGATATTTTTCTTTACAGGCAGCAGTGACCAGTCATGGCAAGGGTATTTTAATATTTCTCGGAAGGGAAAATCCAATTAATTTATTTTTATATGACATTAATATTTTTAAAGCCCACAGTGCATTGCAGATCAGCATTTTATCTCAGTCCAAGGACGGGGCAACACATTTTTACTTATTTTTTCAACAGATGCTGCATGGGTTAGTTGTAAACTTCAAGTTCGCAAAGTTCTTGGCAAAGCTGTCTTCCAGCCAATACTTAGCGCAGATGAGCAGAGCCAAATTGAGTGGGGCAACTTCCACTGCAGTGACTTAATCCTGAAGAAAATCAAGCTCTCCAGCTCCATCCCCTTAGGATCGATTCCTGAAACTGGCCTTCTGGTCAATGTCATAGCCAGGAAAACTGTTGCTGGTCTCATCTTTGAGGCTGTCACTTCAGACACCCCAGCTAACTTTGTGTGTGAAGAACGTAAGTCAATGTCTCTGTTGTGGCCAACAAGCTGAGCACATTTTCTGGTGACAATCCGATTTTCCAATCCTATTTTTAAATAAATAAATTTAGGGACTTAAAATATTTTGGGGTGGTTAATGACACGTAACTTAAGACTCCCTTTTATTCAACTTTCAATTGATTGATGACAAAAGGTTTAATTGAAATTTTAAAATTCACTGATTTGTCCCAGGTATTTAATCATGAAAAGAAAGAAGCTGCCGTGCTCTGCAATATATGGATAGTAAGAAAGCCAATACTTGAATTCAGTTCCATAACCAAATTAAAATGACATATTAGACATGTCTTCATGTTATGGAAAATCTTGTTGACAGAAAAGTTTTGAACTTAGGAGATACCCAGTTCTTTATGTAATGTAGAAATTATAATCTACAAAATCTCAAATGTGGATTCCTTTTGCTCTCAAAAGGTTTCTGCTTTTATAGATTTTGAAAAAAAAAAACAAAACAAAAAAACACAAACATTTCAGTGATAATCATAATAATTATAATAAATTTGTTTCCATCTAAAGTTTTATGATTAAAAATCTTGTTACTAGGTAAAGTCAAAGATAGTGAGACACAGTGGTACCCACCATGCAACACTGACACGGACATGAGTGATGATGGTGACGTTGAGAGTCGTCGTAACCTGATTTTGGTATTTAAAAAAACTTTTTTCCTTTAATATTTTTTTTTCTACTTGATGTTACTGCCAAGTTCGTCAAACACAAGGACTACTTGATGTTACTGCCAAGTTCGTCAAACACAAGAACTACTTGATGTTACTGCCAAATTCGTCAAACACAAGGACTACTTGATGTTACTGCCAAGTTCGTCAAACACAAGGACTACTTGATGGCACTTAATATCCCACATTTAAAACATTTGCTTGAATTTTTAAGTGCCATTTATTTTACTTTTTTTTTTTTAAATCCATTCAACATGTCAAAGAAACATCTCCCAACATCAGATTTTCCTTTAAATAAACCGTCGATGTGCACAGTTTGATAACTTTGATATCTTTAACTTTGTGTCCAACGGTCATATGGTGCATGCATGGATCCTGATTACTGGCTGCCAGGCTCTAAGATATTTGGTGACCCTATACCCATTATTTCCCTGTGGAGGATTTAGTAGTAGTAGATTTTGACCATATTATGTTTGCTTTAAACTAGTACATAATAATATGATCCCTCAACTATCTGAAAGCTTATTGTATGCCTTGAGGACACTCTATTTTTCTCAATCATCCTGTGGAGCAAGTGTTCTTCCATCAACAGGCAGCAGTGTAATGACGCTCTTGTGGTCTGATCAGATTCGTCCCCTTGGCTCATGTAGTCTGATCATTCAGATTCGTCCCCTTGGTTTCTGTAGTCTGAGCACTCAGATTTGTCCCCATGGCTTCTGTAGTCTGAGCACTCAGAATTGTCCCCTTGGTTCCTGTAGTCTGAGCACTCAGATTTGTCTCCTTGGTTCCTGCAGTCATTGCACTCTGATTTGTCCCCCTTGATTCCTGTAGGGGGTAAAGTGACACCAACGTGAAGATCTTGGAAAATGAAACTCTTCTCTATCAAAGTTTCAAGATTTACATTTGTCTATTTTTTTTAAAAAATATATTTTTAAAAAAACTGACTTGATGATTTATGTCCCCCCCCCCCTCCCCCACCAACTTACACGTTCCAGATGTTCAGTTCACGAACATTTTGATAATTTTTCCCTCTCATTTTTTTTAAAGCTTTGTGTCATGATTTTAAAGAGTCTAAAGAAAGTGTTCTATTCATCAGCTACTTTATTGACTTCAAACAGTTATACATTGATGTGACAGCCTTAATTCAGTAACTGATCCATGTTTGCAGAATCCTGACTGTCTGATCTGCCCAGAGCCAATGGAAATCCGTTGTGTGGTGAATGAAAGAAGGGTGGTGCCGGGATCTGTTGATGGACTTTGTGAGAACAATGCTAATGGTGACTACTACTATTGCAACCACGGTCAAAACTGTATTGACAAAGGTGTCAGTACCAGGTGCGCAAAAGGTTAGTGTTCTGCTACATAGGAGTGTTAGAAGCTATCACTCTGTGAATTTATTTTATAATAATGTACACTTATTATAGTAAATGTTTTTAAACATCTCAGTGATGGGCCATATTACCCTCTATATTTAGCCTATGCTGTAAAAAGTACTATTAAAAAAACTGAATTTATTTCAAATGAAAAACTATGATAGTAACTATGTTAAATAATACAAGTAACCTTTAAAGTCATATCCGATTTAGGATTCTGATCAGTTACTTTTAAAATGCACAAAGCAAATCTGCATAATTAATTGCAAAAGAAACAATTTTAAAAGAAATACATTGGCCATGTGTAACAAATCATAAACATAAACTGTAACCAACTTCATTTAATGATACCCAATGACTCTTCTTCCCCCGCCCCCCGCCCGGCTTTCTTTTTATGTTGCAAATTCTTGCCATTCCATTACTTTGATGAATTCAGTTCATGGGTCTTTTTAAAATCAAAAAACCCAACTCACAATAACTGATACAATTAGAAACTGAATAACTACTCACAGTGCTACTCCTGTGTTTTTCTTTAGATGCTGACGAGTGTGTAACCGACCGCCATGACTGCCCAGCCAACTCAAGATGTATCAACACTGTTGGTGGCTACTCATGTCAATGTAATGCAGACTTCCCCCTGATGATCAATGGAGAGTGCAAAGGTCAGTTGATTAGCCTGGCAGTTTTTGAGACTACAATAAGATTGAATTAGAAAAAACCCAAAGAACTGGCCTAAAACCTTTTGGTGCACCAAGGGTTAGTTCCCATGACTTGATAATTTAAAAATTGACTTCAATGGGGGTGAAGCTTTTGATACTTATCAAGTACTAACAAAAGAAATTATCATTGTTGTTTTTTCCCCAGCTTCATATCTCAAATTTCAACTAACTTCATTTTCCATTCCTTCCACTTCAGCCGCAGACACCTGCATTATGTCTGGCCCATCATCTCCTGTGGACTTTGTCTATGATATCCAGGGTTTCTCTGGTGTTTCTGGCAAATTAAGTTATGACTGCAAATTCAAGATTGCATATATCTGTTCCAACAGCAACTGTGAGTTCTGAAGAAGTAGAAGCGTTTAAAAATGTATATATTAACTGTAGGATGTTTTGATTGTTGCCATCGTAAATAATATTAATGGACTGTCTTGAATTATTTAAATGCATCAGTATGAAATATTTAATTTCACCATTATAATTTTTCAGTGCTCATGAGTTAATTTATTGCAGTTATTTCATGTTTTATTAAACTGATATTTAATGTCCACCTTGAAAAACTGACTATTTTTTTAAACCTACAAAATATTGTGATCTAAAATAATATGAACTTTGTCATGGTGCTTTATGGAATGTTGGTGTTGAATGCAGCGATTAAATGGTGAACAATGAACTTATTTATGGAATGTTGGTGCTGAATGCAGCTATTAAATGGTGTGTGATGAACTGCTTTATGGAATGTTGGTGCTGAATGCAGCTATTAAATGGTGTGCGATGAACTGCTTTATGGAATGCTTGTGCTGAATGCAGCTATTAAATGGTGTGTGATGAACTGCTTTATGGAATGCTGGTGCTGAATGCACTATTAAATTGTGTGAGATGAACAGACTGTGAAGGTTGTAGCTAATCTACTTTAAAAAATTCTGTAGAAATTAAAAAACTAAAAAAAAAATATTTTTTTTAAATGACATGAAATTGTAAAATATTGTCAACAAGATGAAATTTGTACACCTCTACACTATAATAATGAAGCTAAGATCTGCATGATTAGAGGAAGTAAATGAATCCAATTCCATGAATTATTTCCATAAAAGACAAATTTAAACAAAAAACTATCTACTTTGGAGTACCATGTTTTGTTCATCGAACTATTTGTTTACTGTTTCAAAAAAAAAATTTGTCTTCAGATGATCCCAAATCAGGAGTGCCATTCATTTCCTTCTATGACATCAGTCAACGTATATCAGGAGTCCAGAACAGTTACATATCTACCTCCATTTATGATCCTACCACCAAAGGCCTGGTGAGATGTGGCATCACTGATGAACTGTTGAAACGGGGTCAGATTTTGGTATGGAGAAGATTTTTTTTTGTCATTCACTTTCTGGTCTGGTTTGCCATTAACTTATATATAAAATGTTTACAAATATGAGCTTTCTTTTTTTTTATTTTTTATTTTTTTTTTTATTTTTTTTTTTTTTTTTATTTTTTTTTCTATTTTTTTAGTTTTTGTTTTTTTATTTTTTTTTTTTTTTTTTTTATTTTTTTTTTTATTTTTTTTTTTTTTTTAAACTTATTTTTCCAAGTTGTAAGGCCTTTACGTTTTGAAGTTAAGATGGACCTGTGGCTGAAATGCTTGATAAAACTGGTACAGATCCTAAAGTAATTTAGAAGGAAAAAAAATAGTTTGCAGTGAATAAGTATGAAGTATGTACTAAATGTCCAAAAAAAAAGCTTTTAATTTGTTTTTCTTTGGTGTCTGTATGTGTGTGGGTGTGAGAGAGAGAGGCTTGGAAATGTCACACTGGTCACTTGGAAATGTCGCACTGGTCACTAGTAAAAAGTGGTGCCTTAAATGTACATTGTCAAACTGAAGCCATTGCGGAACATAATGTTGTTTTCTTTTTTTTTGTGGCCAACGATGATACCTCCCCCACCCCCTCATTTTCCCCAGGCATCAGAATAACTGAACTTCTATTTGGTCATAACAATTTTTTTTTCTTTAAACTAGCACATGATTTCATCCTTCAACAGTATGCATGCTCATTCTATTCTTTATACATTTCCTTCAACAATTACATATCCTTCAACAGTATGAATGCTTATTCTATTTCTTATACATATCCTTTAACAGGATGAATACTCATTCTACTTCTCATACATATTCTTCAACAGTATAAATGCTTAGTCTATTTCTTACACATATCCTTCAACAGTCTGAATGCTCATTCTATTTCCAAAGATACATATCCTTCAACAGTGTGAATGCTTATTCTATTCCTTATACATATCCTTCAACAATTTGAATGCTCATTCTATTTCCTTATACATTGTTCTCCCTGAATTTTTACTGTACATATTTCATCTGACGCACTGAACACATTTTTGACATGCACAGTACGCAGAGAAGACCGACGAACCTGCAGTAACGTCCCTGAGTTTCTTTGACAAGAAGATCAAAACACACTTCCAGTTCGTTGCCCCCAGCACTCTAATCATCCGCCATGCAAGCAACCACTTCAAGGCCACTATTTCCACTGGACCAACACGAGTCCAGGTAATTTTCGCTCACTATTGTTGTGCTCCCTCTTGTGTATTTTATGTGTGGGGAAAAAACTTGTGATGCTCCTCCAATCAGCATGTTTCATTTATGTTACAGCTGAGTTTCCTTTCATTCAGTGATTAATAGTAGTTGGTGCTTGAGACAATAGATATATTCCTATAGGATGATTGTATTATTCTTTCCCTCAAATAATTGACAAGAGCCAGCAGCCTTATTTTTGAGTTCAGTGCTGTATTTAACATATTTTTTTTTTTAAACTTCCCAAAGAACCTGGTAACATTTATTCAAAAACAAATTTCCCTTTAAGTATTTTCTGGAACTAACACTAAGAGAGACAATCCATGGAAAAAGCATTTGAAAATTTCAGACAATGGAGTTGTGTTGTCCTCTTCTTGAACACTTTAAATACAGACCTGTTTACTCTTACGATTTTGGCGTACAATGTACGATTTTGAGGTGTATACATTATATATACAGCACGTTTTTGCTCTATAAAGAGAATGTATTGAACGATTATATGATGATATTGTACGATTTTAAGGGTTTGGGGGTAAACAGGTCTGTAAATAGCACCAAATAGATTTAAGTTTTCAGCAAGTGCAACTATATGAGCAGCATTGCAATTTTAGAATATAGAGTTGTGTCGCATTGAGACCCTTTACACCCCCTCCCCACCCCCTGATTAAAAAAGGAGACTATGTAATATGAAAGCCTTTGGCTTGAATAGAGAGCTCTGAGTTTTGATTACCTAAAGAATATAAAAATATTCAAATCATGAAAGTGTCATCTTTTTTTGACTGCTAATAGTTTCTAGTAATTACACAAATCTGTCATCACTTTTTGGCAGCTAATAGTGTCTAGTAATTATACAAATCTGTCATCACTTTTTGGCAGCTAATAGTTTCTAGTAATTACACAAATCTGTCATCACTTTTTGGCAGCTAATAGTTTCTAGTAATTACACAAATCTGTCATCACTTTTTGGCAGCTAATAGTTTCTAGTAATTACACAAATCTGTCATCACTTTTTGGCAGCTAATAGTTTCTAGTAATTACACAAATCTGTCATCACTTTTTGGCAGCTAATAGTTTCTAGTAACTACACAATTCTGTCATCACTTTTTGACAGCTAATAGCTACTAGTTATTACACAAATCTGTCATCACTTTTTGGCAGCTAATAGTTACTAGTTATTACACAAATCTGTCATCACTTTTTGGCAGCTAATAGTTACTAGTTATTTAAAAAAGTCGATGCGTGTTTCAGCTTGAGCTATCAGATGCCTACAGGAACCTGATTTGCGGAGTGTGCACAGCTTCTCCAGCTTCAAGAGGTGCAAATATTGTCCTGACTGAGGCACAGATAAATGAAATTTCTGTGTTGCCAGAGGAGCCGTAAGGAAATTTAATTTAATACAATTCTCTTATCTAATGTTTGTTTTTTCATCATAAATAACTCTGTCAAACGGCCTGTTCAATAACAGTTTTTTTTTTCTTAATGCTATATCTCAGAAAAAGTGGGGGGGAGGGGGTAGTTGAGCTCTTTTTTTAAAAAGAAGCTTGCAACTGTAAAATTTAAACCTGTATCAACGTCTAATTCAGTGTTGTTTTGCTACTTCCTTTACTTTAATTATGTAAATCACAAATTGCATGCACATATTATTGGAGTTGACAGTACCACTGGAATAAAAAAACAACAACAGGTTGCTTCACATTTCAGGACCTTACATTCATTTTATTTTGAGATTGAATACAAAATATTCTCTGTTATTTATTTCAGATGTGCCCCAAGAAATAACCCATCGCCACAACCTGGCAATCCGTCACCACCAGAGAACCCAGAAGTACCTGAAATCCCAATACCTGGCAATCCTTCACCACCAGAGAACCCAGTTGTACCTGAAAGCCCATTACCTGGCAATCCTACACTACCAGACAACCCAAGTGCACCTCAGAACCCATTACCTGGCAATCCATCACCACCAGAGAACCCAAGTGCACCTCAGAACCCATTACCTGGCAATCCATCACCACCAGAGAACCCAAGTGTACCTCAGATCCCATTACCTGGCAATCCGTCACCACCAGAGAACCCAAGTGAACCTGAAATCCCAACATTACCTGGCAATCCGTCACCACCAGAGAACCCAAGTGAACCTGAAATCCCAACATTACCTGGCAATCCGTCACCACCAGAGAACCCAAGTGAACCTGAAATCCCAACATTACCTGGCAATCCTTCACCACCAGAGAACCCAAGTGAACCTGAAATCCCAACATTACCTGGCAATCCGTCACCACCAGAGAACCCAAGTGAACCTGAAATCCCAACATTACCTGGCAATCCGTCACCACCAGAGAACCCAAGTGAACCTGAAAACCCAATATTCCCTGATGACAACAACACACCAGCTCCAGTCTTTACCATTGCTCCAGTGACAGACGAAACTCTTCCACCTATTCCAATTGAATCCATACCCCCCGTTCGTGACTTTACCCCACCGGTCATCCCAAGTGAAGTCCCAGAAATTCCAGAAATTGATGCTACTACAGTAGCACCAGTGATTCCAGATGAGGAGCCTGTCATACCAATTGATCCTGAAGAGGATGCTTGCAATGATCAAGCCATAGTCACTTGTGCCACTTTGAATCTAATTTGTGGTGTTCCATTGGTCAGTATTAAATTGTAGTGTTCCATTGGTCAGTATGTAATTGTCGTGTTCCCTTGGTCCATATTTAATTGTGGTGTTCCATTGGTCAGTATTAAATTGTAGTGTTCCATTGGTCAGTACGTAATTGTGGTGTTCCCTTGGTCCATATTTAATTGTGGTGTTCCATTGGTCAGTATTAAATTGTAGTGTCCATTGGTCAGTATGTAATTGTGGTGTTCCCTTGGTCCATATTTAATTGTGGTGTTCCATTGGTCAGTATTTAATTATTAAATTTAAATCATAAAAATGCACGACTGAAAGTTTATAATATTTTCATTGAAATTTTAATAATATGTTCAGTAAGAAGGAAAAGGTTAGGGTCAGGAATTCTCTATGCGCATTGAACAGAGGATCAGTCTAAGTAAGATTAAGATTAAAGACACTAAGTAGAAGTGAGAGGGTGTATGTTGAATCTTTTAACATACCCTTACCCTCATAGCTTGCAACCTTTAATTTACTTGTAATCTTCAGTTGATCATTAGACTAATATGTTAAATAAAATTTAATTTGTATTCTGTTTGGACAACATGCATCATGGTTTGAATCACAATCTGTCCTTCAACTCTTGAATAACTTTCTTGACAGATTGAATGCAGGAAGTCTGTCTGTTCTGGTAGACTCAGCATCTGCACATACTTGGCCACTGAGAACTTTGACTCATGCAAGGAGAGGTTTGAATCAGAAAGTCCTGAACTGAAAGAGTTGGTCCGTGTGAATAATTGTGACCAGAGTATGTTGATCTCATATATCACAATATCCCTGTAAAGAAACATGAGTTGTTATTTTTAAAAAAAACCTTTTAATCAATATTTGTGAAAATTGACAATTTTTAATGCAAACTGAAAATGCTAAACTACTTGCAAGGTCTACTACCATATTAATATTTTTTTTAAATTTTGTGGCAATATCATAATTAAAAATTTCACATACTATTTTTAGAACTTATTATGTGAAGCTAATTTTCCAGGAAATAAATTTCTTCTGTGTTGTAGCAGAAAGCAAATTTTACAATCAATTTCAGTACGTACACCTTTTAACAGTGAAAAATATATATTTGTTAAATTAAATTATATATGCTTGCAGAAGAAATGATTTTGCATCATAATTATTGTGTTCACAGTTTGCGGACCCAACATGCAGTTCTTGTACACTCCAAGATCCAAACAACCAACCTGCTCTGATCCCGTTTTAAGTACATCTCTCAGTGAGAGCTCTGACAGTGACTACGGCTTTGCCTGTGTTTGTGATGGAGGGTTCGTCCTAAGTCAAACTGATTGTGTCCGTGAATCTGACTGTGGATGTGTTATGCCTAATGGTGCATACCAACCAGTAAGTTATTTTAATATAAAATGGATTTAATGTTTAAAAAAAAAATTACCTCAAGTCCTTAGATTTGATATTCCTGATCAATCATGATTTTTTTTTTAAATGTAAAAAAAACAAAATATTTTTATTTTTACAGAGAATAAAGCAATTATTCTACAATATAAAAGATAATTTAAAAAAAAAATATTTAAGATTTATGTAGGGTGGTAAATTTTTATAGAAAGAATAGTTAAATAAACATTAAGTGAATAAAATAAACTTGAACATGTTTTGAAAATATAATGTAATGTTGAGTATATTTTAAACTGTTTAAAATAGCAGTTCACAAAACTAAAAAAAACAGGACATTTATGAGTCATTCCATGCTAAATCTTCACTACCTTTCAGCCTGGCAAACAATGGCGATCAGTTGACTGCAGCAAATTGCTCACTTGTCGGGGAAATAATAAAGTAGATAGCCAGGAAGCGCCTTGTGGTCAAAACACAGAGTGCCTTATTGGTGAGCGTGGACCAGCGTGCCAGTGTAGGGAAGGATTATATGGTAACCCAGACATGCCAGATGGATGTAAGCCAGGTAGGCCATGGCTAGAGATGCTGCTGACAAGATTATTTTCGTAGTTCATATTAATTTTAAACAATCAAACTCATTTCAATTTAAAACAAAGGAGGCATTGAGAAAACATAAGCAATCTTAACATAAGATATTTTTTTATAGTGAGATTTTGGTAAGGTTGCTTTAAAGTTGTAACTCTAAAAATGCATGGAGTTAGCAAAATGCAATATGCCATCTGCTGCTTTTTATAAGATTAACTTACAAAGTTTTTTTGCCTAAAAATTTAAGACTATGGCAACATTTTTGTTTTATTGAGTTTTAAGATTTTTACTGAAATAAGCCTCTTGAAAAGAAGGGGATATAATGCCAATGATAAATTGATAATGCTTCGTTCATTTCATGCATATAAAAAAATATACTTCCCATAGGCGAGGTTTCAGAGGATGGCAGCAAGACCTGCTATAGTTATGCCCTGGATAATGGACAGAACGACACACGATGTGACTGCAACATGGGCTATGTTTCCAACTGTGATGACTGTGAAGGTACTTTTTAATCAGCTCTGCTGTTTGTTTATTCATAGCGCTTATGATCAGGTATTTCGTGCACAAATCTTTCAATATTATTTAATCTGAGCAATTCAATAGATAATCCTTGGATTAATCTTTTCCCCTTTACATCATAGAGTATACATAACTCTTATGTGAGTAGAAATTCTTAAATAAGAATTCGTTTTAAAAGGTAATCTTTTAAGGAAATTATTTACAATTTCAATATAAGATCTGCTACTTTTTTTTATATGTGCAAAGAATAATTACTGGTGAAATTCCGTTCTTTAAAAAAAAATTGTTTTTAATTTTTCGTCACCTGTTTATTTACTGTAGTTTATTTTGGTAATTTACTATTATGAAAAAAACTTAGAAATGAGCAATGATTTTATAATTTTAAATTTAATTGCTTTGAAATGTTTGTTCCAAATATTCAGATATTGATGAGTGCAAGGAGGGTCTCCATGAGTGTGACTTGTCCATTCAAAAATGCATCAATGTTCCTGGTGGATACCAATGTTCATGTGGCGAAGGATTCTATTACAAGAGAGGTCAATGTGTTGGTAGGTATCCATCACTATTTCTAGTTTAGATATGGTATATCAGGTTTTCAACCAAAAAAAAACAACAGTTTTAAACCCTTTTTAATGCTATTTTCTTCAAAACTGTTGTACGATTTTATAATTTAAAATGCAGATTGTGTGAAAAAAAAATTCTCCTTTGCTTTGGACAACTGTTAAATATTAATCTTAGAAATTTTATTAACTCCTTCTCAAAGAGAAGATCTTAAATTTGATTCTTAAAAAAAAAGATGTTACCTATTTTAATTGTGATTATTTTTAGGATTGTGGAACCAGAACCGCTTTTGCCCCCCCCCTCTTCCCCCCCCCTTCCCAAAATTGTATTAATTATATAAATGCAACTATACACTATTTAAAACTTCTGGATACATGTCTGAATTTCAGATATCAATGAATGCACTAAAGATAGCAAAATTTGTGGTGAAAATTCTCAATGTCAAAACACTGAAGGATCTTATGAGTGTGTCTGCTGTGCTGGCTACTTGTGGAATCCTGCACTTAAGTTCTGTGAACGTGAACCCATCGGTAAGCACTCAATTACAGTGCAAAGTTTTAAAGAAGCCCTCACTTTGATAAATATTAAATTCTAGGTATGCTTTTCTGTGGCAAGAGCTGACAATACAAAGTTGCCCCAATGAACAATGGTGAGTCTGCAACATGTTGGTGTGGCAAACAAAGAAATGAGAGGCAGCACATGAGTGGAACACAGCTGATTGGCCGTCATGCGTGCAGAATGTCAAAAATTTGTGTGCATCCATCAGTATGATATTACTGCCACTGGCTAATGCTCTGGTATCAAGATGACAATTCAATGTTTATAGATGTTTAATGTCATGTCACAATAAGTCAACACTCTTTGAAACATACAAGAATAGCTTTATTGTCTCTGAACGCTATTAATTCCTACCACATTATAGGGATTTATTCAATACAGACTATCCTCAATTACTGCTGAGCTGTAAAGGACATTAATAAAAGACTGGACAACTGCACTACTATTAACACTCAGACTGTCAGGATGAAACTTCAACTATGAAAACTCAACATGACTCTGGACAATGAAAACTCAACATGACTCTGGACAATGAATTAACAACTGAGTTAGTTCCATACTATAAATAAACCGCCAAACAATGGAGGTGTCAATTTTTAAACATCCCATCTACTAAGGCAGTGGTTCTCCACCTTGCTAATGCCGCGACTCTTTAATACAGTCCCTCATAACTGTGGTGACCCCCCAACCATAAAATTATTGTCGTTGCTACTTTATAAATATGTGTTTTCCGATGATGGTCTTAGGCGACCCCTGTGTAAGGGTCATTCGAACCCCCAAAGGGGTCGCAACCCACATGTTGAGAGGTGCTGTACTAAGGTTACTTGACAAAACAGCTTTCAAGTAAGGCACTTTATCAGAATCCCAATTAGTGCTAACTTCTGGGAATTTTACTTTGGGTGCCTATTGAACACATCGTTACAGCCATGCATAAATACCTAGAGAATTATTACTTGTGATTAAGTTTATAATTTATTTTTACAAGTGAGCTGGGGTGTGCAGGAAATGCTTTGAAATTGAGCAGTGCAAAATGTTAAATAGCACATAACTTTTGAGATCACCAAAAAAAAATTTTAAATGAACTGGAAATATTTTCTCTATTCAGGATTCCCAACGCTGCCTCCAAATGCAAGCTGCTGTGCCACCTGCAATGATCCATTGTGTGAAGAGTCTAGCATCGTACCCACACGTTACTGCTTAACTGAGGATGGAGAGAGAAGTCAGTTCCCTAATTTCAAGAGACTGTACCAAGAGCTTTGTATTAACAACCAGCCTCTAGATAAAGACAAGATCACTCAAGGAAATTGCCCAGTGAATGCCCCACCACCTTCTGATGGCACAGGTCAGCCTATATTTTAAACATTGTATCTCTTTTTTTTTTTTTTAAATCAAATTCCCTTTTAAAATTAAAAAATGTTGAAAGAAAACACCAAAAAAAAAAAAACAAAAAAAAAAACACACACAAAATAAAAAATAAAAAATGTAATTTGTTTTAGCTTTTTTACCACTTCAAATTTTTAATAATGAAAGCTTATGACCAAATTTGTGTTACTTAGTGGTTCTATAGGATTTGGCTCACAGGAAACATTTTATTTGGATAGATATTAAAAAGATCTGCACAAGACTTACAGTTTAATAACTCTAGTTGTGAATGCACTTTATACGAATACTGAGGTTATATTTATATGAACATTTTGAAATAAGTTTTATTTTATTTTTGGGTAGGGGGCGTGAGGTTGTGGTTTTCTGTATCCAATGGTTGAGGATAAATCTGGAACACTGAATAAATTGTTAACTCAATTGTTCCCCTTTTCACCATTGGTGTGTAAAAACAAGAAAAAAATCTAGATCCATTTTTTTTTCTGGTCCATTAAGTTATGTTTAAAATGTGTGAAACTTACTCCTGGATACCCCGACTAATAATGATAATTATCATAGTATTCTCCCTATGAATGCAGGACTAATCATGGCATATACCTATGTAGGTTAATACAATGCTTAGTTGTAGCGTTGTGTGTGAGTGTGCTTATATCTTAACAATACCAATCACGTGATTAATTCTTCTTTCCTCCAGGCGCCCCATCTCAACCAAGTGTTCCAAACACCTGTGATGACAGTTCATTGTGCGCCTCTCTTCCACCTCCACCCCCTGCACTTGCACAAGGTAATAGTTTTATAACTTAACACATGTCTAATTTTAATGCTCTACTTGTAACAAATATTTAGGGTTTTTTTAACATAAAAACACATGAATAAGTATCAGCGATTCAGGGTGTAAAAATATTTAACTTTCCTGGCTGTAGTTCCTGGCAATATTCCATTTTTCTACAAATTTTATTTAAACTTGCAAGTTCTTATTATTTTTCTTTCTATTGTAGACATAAAACAATTATTTGCCAACACCTTAATATTTATAATTCAAACATCAAAGAAGAGTAGCATTTTGTATTTTTAAATAGCACTTTCCAAGTTGATGACTGAACTAAATTATTTAAAATGTATACGGTTTTCATGTAGGCCACTTATAAATTCTTAAACTTACAGAAACTATTTTTTTAAAAAAATTTTTGTCTTAAGTTATTTTCATATATCCTTAAACAGGCCCTGTCTGTGGACCAAGTGTATCTCCAACACCCAAGACCTACCCATCATACTGTGACATGCTCACGGATGTTTGCAAGTCTTCTGGCGGCCCAACCAGCCTGCCCACGGATTCACCCATAAAAGCTACACCTGGTGCATGCAGCCCAGGAAACGGTCCACCATTGCCTGTAGTTCCTCGTAAGTCTAATGTTACAAATACAATGAGCTTGTCAAATTAACAGCCATGTCCACCACACAAATGTAGCAAAGTCAATGTAAGTTTGACCACAAGCACAGCTTTACTGTAAGGGTTAGCTTTTTTTTGCATTTATTCTAATGAAAATGTCATTAAATTATCTGAAAATGTTTGACAAGTGTATTTTGGACTTTAAACATTTAAGCATTTAACCAGCTCTCAGCAATGATATAAAAGTACAAGTTACAATAATTTGAGTCATATATACTTATCAAAGAGCTAGATAATACAGTGACTGATATCTTAGAATCTTATTTATATTTTAATTCATTTTGTTTTTTTTTTTTGTTTTTTTAATTTTATTTTAATACAGTAGTTAATTACATGGGAAAAAAATTCAATCATATTTAAAATCAATAGTTTAGGTTTTATATTTATTCATTAATTTTCAAATTCTTTAAGCTTTGTATAATTTAATTGCGCCTATATAGATTTTGTGTAGAAATGGCAATAACAAGGATACAACCTTTGAAGAGTATTTCATTTCCTATTGTATTGTTTAAGCATAAAACCTGCTGAACTGGAGTCCTATGTTATTATATTTTTGGATCTCTTTTAATTGTATTCTTTATATCCCTACAGGTATAATTGTCCACACTAGCATAGAAGTGGGCTGTCTATCCTGGTTGGCACCATGTGGGCTGTCTACCCTGGGTGGCACCATGTGGGCTGTCTACCCTGGGTGGCACCATGTGGGCTGTCTACCCTGGGTGGCACCATGTGGGCTGTCTACCCTGGGTGGCACCATGTGGGCTGTTTACCCGGGGTGGCACCATGTGGGCTGTGTACCCTGGGTGGCTCCATGTGCGCTGTATGGCACCATGTGGGCTGTCTACCCTGGGTGGCACCATGTGGGCTGTCTACCCTGGGTGGCACCATGTGGGCTGTTTACCCGGGGTGGCACCATGTGGGCTGTCTACCCTGGGTGGCACCATGTGGGCTGTTTACCCGGGGTGGCACCATGTGGGCTGTCTATCCTGGTTGGCACCATGTGGGCTGTTTACCCTGGGTGGCACCATGTGGGCTGTCTACCCTGGGTGGCATCATGTGGGCTGTCTAACCTGGGTTGCACCCTCTATATAAAGAGGGGCAGCAAATTCAGACAACTTATTTTCATGGCGTGTGGGAGGTGGGTGTTGGGGGGGGGGGTAGGGATCTCACAGAGTGTTACAAACCCCGGCTGATTGGCATATTCCATAAATTTAAAAAACACAAAATTTTGTATGTTTATTTGCAGCTGCTCAGCCAATTTTCACTCCATGGAGCCCTTACAGTCAGTGCTTCTTCCAAGATGAACTCAGAAACTGCGGTGAAGGTACCCAGGTTAGGAACAGACAAGTTGTTCCTTATGATGACCTTAGGGTCGTCCGTCCAGTGGAGCCCTATGAGACAACTGAGAAACGACCATGTTTTGAGCCTTGTATTAATGTTATCACTGGTTAGTTTTATTATGGAAGTGATATGTTTGAACTTGGCTTTCAAATTTCATTAGGTTTAATGTTAATTTTTTTTTTTTTAATAAGGGGTAGTTAATATTTTATTTTTATTTCGTTTAGTTAAATCAACTGAAGTACAATTTACTTTTATTATAATTAAATAGTTAAATTTTTTGTTTTTTCTTTTTAGGTCTCCCAGAAGGAAACTGCCCTGCACCAAGTGTCTGTACTGCTCGTGACCCTGTCTGTGGTTCAATCGGCGGTGGTGCTGCCAAGGAATATGACAGCGAATGTGTACTTAATGTCGCTGCTTGTGAGGCTGCCAAGGTTCCCCATAAACTCTACTCTGGTAGCTGTGATCCAGAAGATGGTAAGCTTAAATCAGCACAACTGTTGGCTCTTGCTTATCAGGGATTATGTGTTTAATTGAATGGTTTGTTGAAATGGTAAAGGTCAGAAGAATTACAGGAACATTGACACACCCCCCTCCCCATGACTATAATGCAAATCTGCATAGTCATACTCTGTTGTCCTTTTATATAATAAATATTCAGTATAATTATTTTAGGATGCTTCACATTTTTTATCATTTATAAATAAAATTTTGAAAGATATCCTGTCTTATAAAAATTCTTGTTATCCACTATGCAAAATACACCATGGAGGATTATTAAATATGTACATCTAGAAATAATTAACATTTCTCTGCACAATTAGCATCACTTTCATTTTTCCAGTGATGTTATCAACATAGAAAATCATTAAGCAATGCAGAAAATTATTTCCACAAATTATTCAAATTTAAAAAATATTTATGGCAAACATTGTTACATTGCAAGATAATATATGTAATTGAAAAAATATTACAAGTTAATGGGATACCATATAATGTAGGTTACTTTATAAATTAAGTACATTTAGTTTTTATAAGCCACAATTCCTTAAATTTTCAGGTACAGCCCAACAACGTTACTGTGAGGAAGCTGGACCGGTTCCAGTAACGGTAAAATATGACATCGAGAAAGACGGTAACCACTATGTGGGCGAGCCTGTGACCATTGGCTCTTGTGGAGACCTGCTCTGTGGGGGTGAAGCCGGCACATGTTGTAGGGCCACTGCGTTTGAGCAGATCCAGGTCACTGTCCGATCCTTCAGCCAGGGGACTAGGTTGCCTCTGGGGGAGAGTCCACACATTGTGAGTATTCCTTAAAAGAATTTTTTTGTGCGGATACTTTTAACTATTTTAAAATTGCTTCTTGGTGATGCCCATTTTAATGTAACAATTCAATCACACAACACCAGATTAGCTGCTTAACTCAGTGTTTTGTTTAATGATGTAATGCATTAATCATTTGTGGACTATTTTGAAGAAAATCTTTTAACGTTTCTTCTATGTTTTACTTGAGTAAAGATTAGAACTTGACCTCCTTTCCAACCAATGAGAAGGCACTAATCTCCTTGTTATTTTTTCCCCCCCAACACAGTACGTCTCAGCCACTAAATGTGAGTGCATTGGACCGAATCCTGTAAGATCTTAAGAAAGACCCACACAAAGATATTCCTGTTCGAGGACACTTGTAATATTTTATTTTAAAATAAATATATGCAAACACACATAAATATTTTCTTGGCATTTAAAGCCTTCAATAAAATGTAAAGCTTAACATAATATCTTTGTGTATCTGTGTTTGAAATTTTTAAAAATAAAAGCTATTAATGATCCTTCCTTGCATGCAACGATAACCAAGAAATAAGAAATATAGATAGGATAGAGGAAAACCTAATGAAGGACAATCCAAAGAAGTTGAGATATTTTTCCTTCTGCTGGATTTCCTTAACACTCTCTACTATTTCTTATTGATTCAACCTGAATGCAGTCCTTCCAGCATTTCTCTTTATGATAATCAAGGCTATGTTTGACAAACTTTGCAAGTGGTTTGCTAGTCCTATTTGTGCCTAGAAGGCTCTCCTGTATGTTTTTTAGGGTCCGAGTGGTATTTGGAGGCAATTTTAAAATTTTCATTGATGTGCATTTTCTTTGGCATGAGCGGTGCATTCAATCTCTGAACACTGCACTTCAACAATGGTGCATTCAATCTTTCAACACTGTGCCCAAACAATGGTGCATTTAATACCTGAACACTGTGCTCCAACCATGGTTCATTCAGTCTTTCAACACTGTTCTCCAATAACGGTACATTCAATGTCTGAACACTGTGCTCCAATAAAGCGACTGAAGCTTGTGCGAAGATTTGGCTCGTTAGATGAACAACACGAAACAAAGGACTGAAAACCAATATACAAAGACAAAGATACCAAAGCTAATGATATTAACAATAATCAATTTAATTAAACTATTAGATTGATTAAAAAAAAGTCAAAGAGCCATAAATAAAAACTATATTAACTTACAGCACAGCAAGTGAAAAAGTGTAATCCTTGATAGGTACAAGTATTAATATATATACAAATTCAAAGAGTAACATCTTGTAATGCTCGTATAAGTATAATATATATTTCAGCTAGAGAATTTAGCAAAAAAATAAATATCTTTTGTCTGGGAAAGCGGCCAGCTTATTAATAGGCAAGGAGTTGGAACACGCCACAAAAAAAAAATTCTAGAAATTACATCACCTGACAGCATGCTTTAGAACTAAACAAACTTTTCCCAATCAAGGGAGGGGTGAGCAAATGGTATAGAGCTATAAAATTGAATCGTTGACGTCAGGATCAAAACAAAAAATGGGGTAGAGAAGTGGTGGACGCTTTAGCTCTAAGTTGAAAAATAATAAAATTAGGTCAACACACAGACTGTAACACCACGAGTTTAGGTTGATGTCCATACATTTGAGTAACACTTTAGGGGAATCTTTGAAACATTCTTACTTCCGCCCAGCTGAGCGTTTCCTTTCGGATAGTTCACCATATATTTGTATAGTTAAGCCAGTCTGTTGTCTCGCGACGTATGCTGCCAACCTGGCTTGTCGTTTGTTGTAGCAAGTATGTAGGAACGGGGGCGCAAGGGCTGGTCCCGTCCAGGGCGAGACTTTCTTAATTTTGTATGTTGAGGGGCAGCATTTTTTGTGGAAACTCTGTTATTTATCTCATCATCTGTTGTTACTGACTGAGAATGGCTGCTGCTTAAATATGTGATTAATTCAAACGATTTGAGATTATCATCCTGAAAATGAATCCTAAGGAAAAGCATCAGCAGCCTGAGCTCCTATGCCACCCCCACCCCCCGTCGGGGGCGGATAGTCGTCTAGGAATAGGTCCGCCTCCGTACGGCCAGAGAAACAATGTCTGAGTCTAGAACGCCGTTGCTGTCTCCTAGCCCCTACTGATGTGTAGTGAACGAGTTACAAATTATTTTTTTAACTCAGGAGATGGTTTGAATAAAAATTATTCTTTAATTATTTATACTTATACTGTGTTAAACACAGTTCACAATAATGACAACCAGTAATGATGACGTTCACAGTAGAAGAAAGGAAACTCCTGTTCACCATACGATGTACTCAGCTCAACAAACTAATAACTCGCTCCTTAAAAAAAAAAAATGGCTTCTTGTCGCTCACAACAATAATTACACACCAACCTTCACTGCGTGTGGTTTTTTTTTTAACACACCGTCATTCGTCATAGCTCATACGTCATTCGTGGCTGAGTAAAATTGATGGGATATAAGGGGAAGTAACTAAATGAAAAAAAAAAACGAGCTCACCCACACAACATCAAAATCGGACACAGAACAACATCAAGTATATATAATCTGAGCGTGACACCCCCCCCCCCCCGGGAACCCTTCTT